TAAAATATTCTTCATTATATTTAACATAAAACTCATCATTCCTTTATTTTCTTTTGATTATATTAAAAATAAAAATGATTTTGGATCTTTTATATAATCATTACCTTTATTAATTTTCACATTATCATATCCTCCAAATTTATTTCCATCTTCAATAATAATTATTATATATTCTTTATTTATTATTCTCTGAATAAATATTGATGTATTCTGATTCCAATTATCAATATCTGAATCAAATAATATACTTCCTATTTTTCTATCTGTCCATTCTTCTATTTGTTTCATTTCTTCCATTCTTACCATTCTTTGTAGCCTTTCTACTTCTTCTCGTTTCTTTCTTTCTTTTTCTTTTCTCTTCTTCCTCTCTAAATAATCACTATATTGTGTTTTCCATTCTTCTTTATTTTTATTAAATCTTGTTTTAATATTGTTGATTTCTTCTTCTAATTTATTAATTTTATCTTCCATATCCATTTCTTTCATGTGAATGATTTTATCTATTAATTCATTCTTAGCTTTATTAACTGTTTCTGAATCATTATTACATTCTTCTGTTATCTCTTCTAACTTGTCTTTTATACATTCTATTTTATTAATTGTTTCTTGTCCTTTTTCTATTACTATTCTTCTTCTAACTACTTCATCTATCCTATCAAATATTCCTTCTCCTCTTTTAATTGCTTGTTCATATGTTTCATTATCTTGTTTCTCAAATATTTCATTTTTAATACTTCCTAAATAATAATGATATTGTTTAGTAGTATCACCAATTGATTGCTGAATATTTGGAAGTGTTTCTATTTCTTCTTTAAAGAAACGAGTGTTCTTATTTATTAACTCATCCATTTTAATTTAATGAATATCAGATTAAAATCAGATGATTAAATAATTAAATACACATTTATAACACATCATTTTATTTATTATTTTAATAAATGTTATTTCATTTTTATTGTTTTAAATAACAATAATAAAAACAAGAAAATAGAAAATAATAAAAATATTAAATAACAAAACATCTCATCATAATTAATGGTCATATCACAGATTATAGACACTTGATATTTAAAAAGAAATTGAAAATACAAAAATAACCAATAATTAAAAAATTATAATTCAATCTTATTAGTTTATTTTCTATTGTTCATTGCTCATTACAGAATAATCCCATCCCTTGTGTTTTAAGAATGGACACTCATCAAATATTCATACATTATTTAGATTTTCATTACGTTGAGAAGTCTGACTTTCTATTCTTTATTCATTTATTTAGATTGAATTTATGTCTTTTCAAACTTCTTTATCTTAATCATTCATCATTTAACTAATTATCTCATACTTATTTAATTTTAATGTGTATTAATACTCCTCATTCTATATTTTCTTATTTTGTAGTAATTATATTTTTGTCGCTTTATTATTATGCCTAATTTCATTTATCATCAATAAAGAATAGATCAATTTTCATTGAAAATACCAATATGTATTCAATTCGATCCATTCATTATCAAGTATATTTGTGTCCTAACAAGTAAATAATACTACCGTCTTTATAAATACTTTTGTATTATAATAAATGATATTCCATCATCATAAATAATAATCAGCAACATTCTTGTAGTACTAGTTTAGATGTTTTCTAACCAATGGTAACGCCACAATCAGACAATAACTGGTGAATTAATGATTTGATTCATTTTAGGGTTTGTGTAGTGTTTCTGACATGCAACCTTCGAATTCATATAATAAGAACATTATAACAATAAAATATGAAAAAAAAATAACTTTTAAGTTTTATTCTTTTTACTCAACGGAATCATTGGGTGAGATATTATTAATTATTAAGTTTTGTAATAGACATTTGAAACGGATAAATATTAATATTAAGATAAGACTAGATTAAATAATTTATGAAAAGAAAAATCTTTTCAATTTTTTTACAAAAACGATAAAAAGAAAGAAAAGTCATAAAGTTAGAGATAATTCATAAAAACAATATTTTTAAAAAAAAACAAGAAAAAAAAATCATCAAAGAACAGGCAAATGAAATGATAATTTTCTATTTTATAATATTAGACTTTTCAAACAAAAGCTTTCACTAATTGGATTTCTCCTTTTTTAAATGAATATGAACCGTTATGTTCTATAAATTGAAATAAATAAGAGTTGAGTTCTTGACCTTTTTGAATGATTTCTTCTTTAGTTAATAATAAAGAGTGTTGAGAAAAGATCTTTTGAATACGTTCAACTTGCATTGCTTTTCCACTTCTTCGAGAAAGGGTAGTATGAAATTGGAACCCAAATTCATCTAAAAGATCAATCAACAAATTTTGAACGAAAACTTTTTTATTTTTTTCCATTCTTCTTAAAGCAGTTGCTTCATTTAAACCTTTGTTAATTTCATCAGATAATTTAGCTTTACATTGTCTTTCTACAAGAGAAGAAACGTCAAGTGTATCTTCTTTACAAAATTTAATTTCTGATACTTTTGGAGATATTACAGTTACTTTAGATAATTTTGCTGGTCTTTCAAGTGTAATTTCACTATATTGATTTAATAATCCAATTAAAATAGCTTGTTGATATACTTCTAAATCTTTATTTTCTTTTTTTTGTTTTAGATATTTAGGTGCATTCCAAGGACGTTCAAATTTACTTTTTTCAGAAGAAGAGTCACTTGCTTGGATTATCCGACTCATTCTATTTAAACTAGATTCCACAGATTCATTAAATAGTACTATCACTTATTTTTTAATTCACAGAAGTTAGTAAAATTTAGATTATTCATAGTTATTAATGGGCTTATTAATTATTTCTCCTCAATTTTTAGGTTATTAATACTCTATAGATTTGCTAGAAACTTCCTTTATCGATTTTTGAATATTGAATTTCCACTGGAAGCACAAAAACTGTTGCTAAAAATATTTTTTCATGTCAATAACAACGAGATGATTAATTTGTTCGTCAAAAAAAAAGATAGAAAACATTATAATTAGACTAGGGTATATGTGTTTGTTCCAAGAATAAACCACTCCTTTAGTAGATTCTTCTTTTCAATTAGATATCAATAAAAAGAATCTGTAATCGAGCTAGAAAAATTGTTAGTTAATTAACAATTTGTCTTCTTTACTATTTCAATTTTAATTAATCTTTTTAATTATATTAAATAAATTTTTCAAATATCTAAAGATCTTAACAATAAATTTTTAGAATAATTCTTTTACTATTTTAATAAAACTAATACTTCACTATTTTATTGATTTAAAAAAAAAACTTTTTTCACATTTTTTCAAAACTTTTCAAACCTTTTGAATTGAATATCAATCAAGGTTTTTTTATTTTACATTCCTTTAAATCCTTTTTCTTAATTCTTATTATTTTATTTTCAATAGTGAAAAAAAGGTGCAATAATTTAAAGTTTTATAAAACATATTTAATTTTATTTTTAATAAATTTTCTCTTAATTTTCTTTAATACCTTAATTTTATTAATTCATTATCTTAAATATAACTAATTCTTCTTTAATACACACAACCAGTTTATGAGTTATTTATTATTAATTTTATTCTTTTCTTTATTAGTTATAAAATCTTTTATTTAGTTTCTTGTAAATGAGGGAGGGGTATGTTTATATTACTTTTATAATACTTTACATTTATTGTTTAATAAGTTTTTTACAGATTACAACAATACATGAAATATATTTTGGTTATTAAAATGTTATATCTAACATAAAAGAAAGAAAAAAAATAAGAATAATTTTGTTATTTTGAATTAAACAGAAACAATTTTAGAAAAGCAAATATTTTTTCTTTAAAATAAAAAAAAAAAATTAATTAATTAATTCAAATTGAAAATAAATAAATATTTTTTATCCAGTTTTACTTTTATTCTCTGTTAATAAATGTTGTGTAGAATTAAAGCATGTTAATACTGGATGGCCATGTTGAAAAATGAATGTCGTTATTCCTGTATTACCTAATTGAAATTTATGATACATAGTTGGTTCTAATTCTAACAATCCAAGAATTGACGTTTTAATCCAAGCACCATGACTCACACAAACAATAGTTTTTCCTTCATTTTGTTTGCACAAATCCAATAATAATTGTGCATTCTTTTTAGACCATGAGGTAATACTCATTCCAGTAGAATCAAATGGAGACCCATCCTCTCCTGAAAGGAATTTTTTGTAATTTGTGTCTCCATTTAATTCTTCAAAAGTATGTCCTTCCCATGTCCCAAATGGTATTTCTTTCATATCTTCAATTAAATGTACTTCTTTATCTCCTGCTATTTTTTTAGCTGTAACTAATGCACGACGTAATGGTGATGAATAAATGATATCAAACTTTCCATTGATTTGTTGTGCAACTTCATTTGCTTGTTGAATTCCATTAGAAGTTAATTCAATATCTGTACATCCTTGGATTTTCCCTAATAAATTCCATTTTGTTTCACCGTGTCTAATTAGAATTAACTTTGTCATTAAATAAATTAATGAATAGTGTTTATCAGTTAGTAAGGGTTAGGAATAGTTCTAACAAAATGATCATTCAATTTATTAAAGTCCACTCAACTCATTTATATTTCATTTTTTTATATATCAGTGTTTTAAATCTTTTTTATTAAAAAAAATATAATTATTTTTAAGTTACTTATCAAATAAAAGAAAATGAAGTGTATTAAATTAATCATTTCTATGTCATTATTTATTTTCTTTAATTCCTAATTCTTTGGCTGAAATAGAACCAAGTCCCATCCATCCTCTCATTGCATTAATTATTTGAATATCTCTATGTGTTCTTGTATAATCAGATCCTCTCCATCCTTCAACAGTATATCCTCCTGCATCAGCAACATACGCTTGTCTTTTTGGAATTGATTTACATGACCCACACCACTCTCCAGTACATAACGAACAATCAGAAAATCCATCTGGGAATCCATCGTTACCATTAGCTCCATCCATTAAAGTATAAGATGATAATAATAAACGATGTGTCCAATTTCTATCAGTTCTTGAGAATAATTGAATTTCAAATTGTCTATGTCTATCAATATCTTTTTCTTTAACTAATACAGATCCTTGATCATGCATATCTCTTGATGATGATCCTGGTTTTTGTTGATCATGATCATCATTTTCAATAACTAATCGTTCATAATCACTATTTTCTTCACATTTACCCCATTCAGCTGGATACCATGATTGCCAAATTTTAATTTTCTTTATATCACTTTGACTTAATCCAACTTTACCTAATTGTTCTGTAAAGTATTTAGAATATTGATAATCACCATAATTACACCATAACAAATCTCCTTCTCCTCCAAGAATCACTTCTAAATATGCCATAAAATCATCCGGAAGTGCACCTCCCATATATGTTTTAACTTTTCCAAAGATTGCTGCAATGTCGTCTGGTCTAATATGTTTAGCAGCATCCATTCTAATTCCTGAAGCTCCTGCTCCAAGGTTTTCGACAATCCATGTAGCAATTCTATCTCTAACATATTCATTTTCTGTTGCAAGATCTGATAATCCAACTAACCATCCCGCATTCATAATAAATCCATCACTCCATGAATTAAGTGATCTTTCACAATGGAAATGTAATGGTCCATAAGCAGCTCCTGGATATTCTACTGTATTAATTTTTCCAGTATATTTATCATTTCCATAATTAAATGATAATCCAAAATATGGTTTGTGTGTTGTTGAATCTTTTGGTCCCCAGAAATTACCACCATTACAATGATTTAATACATCATTTCCACCTGCTGACATATGATTTAATACCATATCATTATAAACTAATACATTATGTTTTCTACATGCTTTTACCATTTCTCTATATTGTTTTCTTGTTCCCATTCTTGAATTTAATGAATATGATGCTGGTTGATAAATCCAATACCATGGATTTAATAAATTATCTTGTGGTTGATCAAATGATAAAACTGCATCTTGTGGTGGATAGACTTTAACAGCTAACCACCCTGCTTTTCCAATAAATTCACATTCTTTTCCAATATCTTCAAATGGCCATCCAAATAATTCTACAATTCCTCCTTTTTGTCCTTTATTATAATTTGGTGCTAAATTAGCAGCTGGAATACTCCAAACAAAATCAAGTGGTTCAAGGTCAATGTACTCTTTATTATCTCCATCCATATGAACAATAATTCTAATCTTTAAATCTTCTTCTGGAAGTGTTTCCTTTGAAACTTCATAAACTTCTGATTCAGATGGAACACCATTATATTCATATGTTATCTTTTTGATATTATATTTTGGGTTAACAGTTGGTACAACTGTAACAGTAGCAGCAGTTCTAGAAGTATCTTTATATTGAATTCTAGCATATCCAACAACATGTGAATATCCTTGATAACTTTCAATCCAATCTTCACTTCCTCTTGGTGGAGTTTGCCATCTTGATTCTTCAGCAGATGCTTTCATAGCAATATCATTTCCATTACATCCAAATTGACCATTATTTGAATTACAATTATAACATAAACCAACCTCAATTAGTAACACAATCAATGTGTTGAATAAGAGCATTCTTCTTTGAATTTTGATGAAAAGAGTTAAATTATGTGTTCATTAAATTCTCTAAAAACCCTTTTCGAATTTTCATCTGGAAATATCAATTCTTTTACTTTTTTATATTTTTTATTTTCATTTTCCTTTTTTCTTTTCTTTTTTATTTCTTTATACTATTTTTCAATTCTTGAGAATTTTCTTTATTGATTTTTCTTACTTTTTGTCACTATTAAAAATGAAGTAAGTAAATTCTAATTCAATAAACTGTTCAACTGTTTTATAATTGAAAGATTTATTCATTTGATTTTGTTATTTCTTCTTTTTAGAAATTTTAATTGATAAATAATAAAGTCTATCAATGGGGTAGATTATTTAAAAAATTATTGTATTTCTTCATAGATGACACTTTATTTACATAATGTATCATTTATCTTATTGAATTATTTAAGTTTATATTGTTTATAATAATAAACAGTAAATGAAAATTACCGTTTCTTTTTAATTAAACTTTTTTATTTATTTAAATAAGAAAAATATTAATTAATAGCTTTTCTCATGGAAATAATAATTTCAAGTTCTACAACTTTAATATGAATATTTTTTATTATTTTTTCCTGTTTTATTATTTTCATGAATTATTGATATTTATTGTAGCTATTTTTTAATTCTTATAATAACCTCGAGACCAAATCATTGTTAGACCAATTTTCAAAGTATTGTATATTATCATATTAAATTTAAAAGATACTTATTATTGAGAATAAATGCCAAAGTTCTATTATTATCAAAAAAAAAGAGTTGTTTTAATTTATATAAACTTATTTTTTAAAAAATAAAAAAAAAGATTTCATTCATCACACTCATCTTTGTATTGTTTTTCAGTTCGTTAGCTATATAAGACCTTGCAAGAACTCTTTTTTTCATTCAAATGTTTTCTGCCTGGGGACAAGCTACTGGTGCTAATGAAGATCCTGTTGCCAAAGACTTCACTAAAGCTCAAGACCAAATGTTTGGTCATATGATGGCTGCTGGTGCTGCATCAGAAGCTGGAAATGAAAAGGAAGCTAACAAACAAGCTGCTGCATGTATGGGAACAATGTTTGGTGCTCAAATGCACATGTATCAGCAAACACAACAATCAATGAACTAAATTGATTTTTCTTTCTTTTTGGAATTTTTAAATTAAAAATCTTTTTTTCGCATAAATATTTAATAAATTGTCAATATAAAAATTAGAATTTTTTAATTTATTAATTCATTTTACTTGTTTATAGTGTTACCTTTTTTACTTTGTATTTTATCTTCTTTTTTTAGGTGTTTTTATTTTAAACACTCACCCTTTATCTCTTATTTCCTCTTTTTTTATTCTGTTTTTTGTTCTTTTATTTTTATTAACAAAATATTGTTTATGAATTATATTTAAAGTTGTAGAGACTTATAGTATCAAACAAATTAGTTTACTCATAAGTACTAAATTATTAATCAAAATAATTGGTTTAAGTTAATTGCACTAGATAGTTACTATATGGAAGTTCAAAAAAAAGAAATCGAGTCTATATTAAGAGAAGTATTAATGATTAATAAAAGGAGTATAAAAGATATGATACAATGAGTATAACAAAATTAGTATTAATAAATTAAATATAGTTTATTAATGTTATTTGTATTATTTGTTGAGTCATTGTTATTCAATGATTAGAACAATCTGAGATAATACACTTTATATTACTACTTTATATTAAATAAGAATTAAATAAAATCAAAATTAAATTATGTTATTTATATTCATTTTTCTACCAATTAAAAAAATGGTGTTTACATAAGACTTTTACTTTCTTTTCAAATAAAAAATATTTACTAATTTCATTTCATTTTAATTGCAATAATTCTTTGTGGTGTAAATTTACCTGGACTTCTCTTTCCACAGAGTGCATTTGATATTCCTTTATATTTATATGAATATTCTTTATATTCTGATTTTGTTTTATTATTTTCTTTATAAACAACAATATCATCAAATCCAAATGCAAATAAACATTCATTTGACTGGTTATATAAATAAAAATATTCTTCATTATATTTAACATTAAAACTCATCATTCCTTTTATTTTTCTTTTTGATTATATTGAAAATAAAAATGATTTTGGATCTTTTATATAATCATTACCTTTATTAATTTTCACATTATCATATCCTCCAAATTTATTTCCATCTTCAATAATAATTATTATATATTCTTTATTTATTATTCTCTGAATAAATATTGATGTATTCTGATTCCAATTATCAATATCTGAATCAAATAATATACTTCCTATTTTTCTATCTGTCCATTCTTCTATTTGTTTCATTTCTTTTGTTCAACAAACTGAATATTTTAATTCATGTTCAGATATAACTTGAGTAATTTCTTTTTCTTTTTATGTTCTTCTTTTTGTTCATCATCTTTTTTATAACTCTTTTCATATTTTTGAAATATTTATTTCTTATTTCTTCTTTTATAAACTCTCTTATTACGTCTTTGTTTATTTCATTTTTATCTTTGATTTCATAAGTCATATAATTCTGAATATTTATATTCGTTGTATTTTCATCTATTCTAACTCCTTGTTTTTCAAGTTCTTTTTAGTCTTGTCATTTTCTATTTTCATCTTTTTAATCTTCTCTTTATTCTTTTTATACCTTCTTTCTGAAACTCTTCAATAATTTTTTGTAGTATTTCATTTTTATTTAATACCAATTCTACCGTTGTTTCTAATCTACTAATTCTAATTTCATATTCTTCTATTATTTTTTCCATTCTTTTTTGAACTACCCCTGTATGAATAATTTTTTCAATTGTTTGTCTAAGTGTTCCAGTATTTTGTGTTTCCTCCATTTATTTACTCTTTTTTAGTTTTATTTTAATTATAAACTTAACACTAATTATAATTTAATGTTTTTTTTAATTTAATCAAATTTTATTAAAGTTATATTTTTGTTCTTTATATTAGATTCTTCAAAATACTAATCCATTACAATGTATTTATATTACTTTTTTATTATTTTAAAATATATTATATCATCTGTTAAATAAGGTTTTAATTTTTTAATGTTATTTGAATTGTGTTTTATGTAATATTAAGTTTTACTATTATTTATCTTATTTTAATAATAAAACAGTTGTTTTTACATACATTGAATGATATACAATGGTATTGACTGAAATAATGGTTTTAACCCTCCTGAAAATAAAACATTATTTCAAATGAAAAAACACGTGAAGAAATGGCACTATTAATTAAAATAATAAATATATTTTATAGTTTATTATATATTTCAAGAAAATAAATAGTCATTCGCTATCGTATCCGTATTTAAAATATTTTTTTCTTACATTAGTTACAAATTAATAATAAAATCTAAATCTTTGAAAAGAATAGTTTTATTTTAAATGTATAAATTTTCTTTCAATTCTACTTTCTAGTTATGCTTATGTATTAATCCTTTCTTATCCATTTCTTGATTTCTTTTACTTGACTCCTTTTTATTTTTCTTCTTTCATTTTCACATTTAAATCATTTAATCTCTTTCTTACTTATAATTACAATTACTAATATCATTCTCTAACTTATTTTCTATATCCTATTCGTTCTTCCTTAATGATATATTATTTAACTTCAATTCAATTTAAAATCAACAAATAAAAACAGAAGCAATAAAATATGATAACATAGTAAAACACCATTTGACAATAAGGTAATTGTACAAAATAGAGGATGGTTTTATTCTAGTTAAGATGTCATAAATTAAAGAATTTTATATAAATAATACTATAAAAAAACAAAGAATTAACTCATGAAAATTGAATTAAAAAAGTTACGGAAAAAACAATAGTAACTTAATATGAATACAGTCAAAAATCGAAGATGATATAACATCTTCACATCAAAAACAAATACCTATTAAATTTTTCTAAGGATAATGAGAGTATTAGAAAAACTAATTAGAGTGAAAACACTAATAATAATAAGTTAATTAGTCTGTTTCATAATCAACAAAGCAACAGTTACACCGTATAAATAATGATAATACAATGATATTTTGGATATTCGATAATTATTTAAGTGGATAGAATGATAAAGAAAAACTAGAAGAAATATCTTTATAAGAGGATTATATAAACCAGTTTCAGTTAAATATGTTAATGACTAAAATCAAAGCTCAATTGAATTCTATTTATTGCATGAATTGTGATTGAATTTTTAGACAATATAATCATAAATCACAGTTTTTTATTAGTCTTGTGTTTTTTTTTGTAATTTGTTAATTTTAATAATCAATAAAAAAGATTAAGCCCTTTCTTATCAAAACCATAATTGAATCTCAAATACTTCTTCTATCAATTCTTTTCATTTTTGTCTTTTTACATTTTTCTCTGGAATCGTTATAATGACCTGTCTTATTCTGTTGGTTCTTCTTATTACAATAATTTAAAATTATTAAATCCTTATAGTAATAGCACTTCTTGAATTAACTTTTTATATTTCTGCACTACTTTAATCTGACGTACAATTCATTTCTCTCTTCTTTTATTGTTCCATTATATTCTTCACAGTATTTGTTTGTATCAAGTCAAAACGAATTACAACTATTTTTCATCTCATAGTCTGTTCATTGTTTTCTGTTATACAAACTGACTTTTGTCTGATTGAGAACTGTCAAAACTATCAATCCCTTAGACCTCTTTACATATAACCTTTTAATTGTTGTTAGACATTTCTTACTTCTTTAGAGGATTGCACAAATAATTAAAGAAAATTGTTCTCATGTAGTTGGCGATAATTTGAACGTTGAATTGTCAGAATATAAAAATCATATAAAAATTAATAAAGAAAATCGGTATTTATAACATAAAAGGGTTTTAATAAAAAAAGGAACAAAAGAAACAGAAGATGGAGATTGGAGGAAAGCACTATGGAGCATTTAGAGAAGAAGAGATTGTCCATATGCAAAACTTGGTGAAAATTATTGAGAATGGAGCTAATAATGAATTTGTAACTATATCATTATTCAAGATATTAAGCTCAATGATTATAAAGTTAAATCGACAAATGATGGAGAATGAAAAGACAAAACGAGAACAACTCGAAGAGGTAGTTGGTGCTATTAATTTCTTGAAAAGTCGAGTGGATGAAAGCAATGAAGCAGTTCAGAGCATTATCAATGAAGCTCCAAAAGAAAGAGTAAGAAGAGACCCAATTATTGAGATGAAAACATTTGAAGCAAAAGAAAGTCAAGAGAAACAAGAAGTAAAAGGAGAGATTGAAATTAGTACAAGAGAAACTCTAGAAAGTTTTGGAATTGGAAAGGAAATTGAAGAGGTTAAAGAGTGGATTGGAAAGAAAGAGTATCATACTATCTACGATTCTAGTGTTGATGGATTAACATCATATGGTTTAAACGATAAAATTTGTGGAAAGAAGAATGTGATGGTATTTATTAAGACAAGTGATGAGCAAATTATTGGGACATATAGCAGTGTGGTAATTCCTACACCAAGTTATGAAGGAGAATATTGTTTCATAAGAAATGATAAAGAATTCTTTATTCTAAAGAAAGAAGGAGAACATATGAAACGAATTGTTAAAAGAGAAAGGGCAGAAAAGAGTGACGCTAGCTTAATGATTCATTGTTCAATGGATGATGTGTTTTATGTTTCAAGAGCTTTTTGTATTAAAACAAAAGGGTCATTTGTTCTTCCAGGAATTAGTCAAGAATATGAAATTGAAGATTCATTAGGAGATGATTATTTAGTAGGAACACATGATCCATCGAAGTTTGATGTTAAGAAGATGTATGCCATTGAATGGAATTAAGTTCTTTTCTACTTCTTTCTTGTTTTCTAAAATAAAAAAATATTAATAATTATTTATAATATCTATGATTTAAATCGTTTAATTGAATATACAATTAACTTGGAACTTTAAATTCACTTCTTTGACAATAAAGAAATGCTTACTAAACAAAGCAGCTAAAAGAGTTATTGTTAATATCATACAATCAAGTATTTCGTAAATTATTTAATTAAGTAATGAACTCATTTACAATGAACATATTTATAAAATTCATAACTATTTTCATTTTTTCTTTGTTTTTCGAAGGTAAATAAATTTTTAAGTTGTGGTTATTAAAATTTGTTGAGTTTGTTATTCAGTAGACTATTAATTTGTTGTGGTGTTTTGATATTTTTTTCTGAATTGTTTTAGTGTTTGGGATAAATTTAAAAAATAATAGCTTCAAGTTTCTCTTTGAAGACATTGACATAAGTATATACTATAGACATTTAGCTGTGTACCTGTACATACATTTTATTGGTACTATCATTGTATTTAAATTTATAAATAGTAATGTCAACCTTTAAATCATTCTAATAAATACACTTTTATCAAATGTTATCTTTCATAATCTTATTCATAATTTATATTCAATCAACTTTATTATGGGTGTATGTTTATAACATTTAATATTACAAACTTTATTAATAAGTCATAATAATATTCGTTTAAAGACATATAGTATTTTTTTTAAAAAAGACTAGTTTTTAAAGTTTAAAAACAAAATATGAAAGAAAAAGAAGAAACTGAATGAGTAAGTATAATTTAGCATATACGAAAAACTTATTATTTAAATTTTAAGGAATGGTTGATTTTTATAAAAAGGGGATTCTTTAGATTACAATGACAATGCCTAACAAAGGATTTTTTTTTATTCTTCTTTAGGTTGATCTGAGGTGGTTTTCAAAACGACAAGAGAATAACAGTTTTTTTAATAAATTTTGATTAAAATAGAATATTTACGTTTCAGTTTGTGAAAACATTCATGAAATTGTACTTTAAAGAAGTTAAGTGGGTGTTAAGTAATAAAAAATGGAAAACAATTGGATTTTTAAAGAATCGTTCTTACCCCAAAATCCAAAAACTTGTTGAAAATTGATTCTTCAGAAACTGACCTATTAAATCTCCCAAAACAAAAAACAGATCAATAGAAATGAACATGACCATTGAACAAAATAATTATATTCCTAATTATTCTTTTATTTATGAGTCTGAGAAAGTAAAGAAGCAAAGAAAAGCTGGTATTGCATGGAGGAAAGAAGAAGATCAAAAATTACTTCGTGGAGTAGAAATGTTTGGAGAGAAAAGTTGGGTTGAAATTGCTAAATTTGTAGGAACAAGATCAAGAAAACAATGTAGAGAACGATTTATTAATCATATTGATCCTGGAATAGATAAAAGACCATGGAGTTCAGAAGAGGATGAAAAGATTCTTCTAGGACATTGTATTCATGGGAGTAAATGGAGTGAAATTAGCAAAAAATTATCTGGAAGAACTGCTCGTGCTGTAAGAAACAGATATAAAGCATTGTCTATTCGAAATAAATTATCTTGTTTCATTAAAGCAGATCAAAACTTATTTAAAGTCATTAATGGAGGTCCCATTTGGTAGTCATGACTAAACTTTAAATATCTTGTTGATTTGTTAAATAAACTAAACTTCTTTAATAAATTTCTATTGAAGGTTCTATTTCTTAAAAACTTCAGAATGGTTTTCACTTCCATTTCAAAAACTTTATTTTTAGAACTTTCTTATAAATTTTTTTTTCAAAACCATTGTGGGTTTAAATTAATTTATTGTATTCTTAATATTAATTTGATTTAATCTAAATTCTTGTTTGTATCTATTCTTAATTTATGTATTGTTCTTAAACACAATTTATTTTATCTTATTATCTTTGTTTGTTTAGTTTTTGTTATAGTTTGTCAGTTATATTAACAGAGTTTTTTTTAATTCTCCACCCTCATTTTCTCTTGTGTAAACAAACCAAAATTTTTTATTATTTATGATTTATTAAGAACATTTTCTTCGGGATTCGAAGGTAGCACGTCAGAGACACCACACAGAACCCTAAAATATTTCCATCCTTCGATTCCCCCCAGTCATGGACTGGTTATGGCGTTGCGTTTGGTTAGAAAAACATCTTACCCGGTACTGCAAGAATAGCAGTGTTTATTATGTACAATGACAGAATATCATTGACAATAAACGAATGGGTATTTATAAAGATGTTATTATTACTTGTTAGAATACAAGTATATTTGATAATATAAGAAAGATTATCAAAAGAAAAGGGTCAAGTGGATGAGGCTAAAAGAATATTAGCCCAAAGCAATACAGTAGTAATTATATATTCTCCTTAAAATAAGAAAATAAAGAAGAAGAAATTTAAACCCATCGAAATTAAAAAGAAAATAAATAATGAATATCTAAATAAGGGATGTTTAAAATACACTATTCCACATCAAAAATGAGAAAAGAAAGTTCTCACCGTTCAACAACTAGAAGCAAAGAATAAGCTAATAGTTGATGAACAAATACTTTTAAGCGAAGGGACGGGATTAGTCTCCCCTGAGCAAGGAACAATAGACACAAGTTCTATTAATACTTAATTAACTACTTTTATTAAGAACATTTTCAATCTGTTTTTATAAAAATTAAAACTGAAAATGAAAAGAAACCATTATTAATAAAATTAATAAAAAAAAAAGAGAAAGAATACAAGTTTAAAGGAAGAGGAAAGTATTAAATTCATTTAATTTTGTTTCAGTTTTGATCAATTGGAGTATTAGTATTGATTAAAATTACAATAAGAAGAAAAGATTTATCTAACAAATCGAATCATTTATGTAAAAAATTAAATAGTAAAAAATCATATAAAAGAGAGATTTAATTAAAATAAAATAAAAGTTACAAATGAAATCAAATGATATGAATGGTCTTTCAAAAATAAATAAAAGATTTACTTCAAATTTATAAAGTTAATATACCTTAAAACCATTTCAATTAAATTAATGAGACATTATATCTGATTTTATTTCCAAAAATTGCCATTGTATTAATTCCCATGTTATTTTTCCTTCTAAATTCAGTTGCTTTTTGAATATAATTTCTAATAAAATAACTATTTGGACAACAATCATCAATTAAAGAAGAATAACTATTACTTACTGTTTCATGTATATCATTTGTATCTTTAAGTTTATAACAAACTTTTAATAAGACTTTACCAGTTACAACAACACTTTTATTTCCAAAATCATTAAGTTGCAATCAATATTTTACATAAACGTCTGAGAAAATATTGTAAAACTAACTTAACAACACAAGAAATTGATCAAACCCAATAACTTTATAGTCATAGAAAATGTACTGTTACATTCATTCTCTTATTACTAACAACAACCAATATTTTATTATATGATTTAAATCTTGGATCTAATGACTCACTTAGTGTTCGTGTTTTAATCCATTTTTTATTACAGTCCCAAAGAAATATAAACTGTTAAACATCAATCCTAAATTCATTAATGATTTGAATACCATTAATTAAATCAAATGGAATATCTTGAATAATGAGAAAACCAATTGCTTGAAAAACTTTAACTTTACAAATTTCTTCTTTATTTTCAACTATATGTAGAATAATTCTTCTATTTAATGAAAGTGGTTCAATCCAAAAATTGGTTTAAGTACTATAGTCAATAAAATATTACTCACCATAATCTAAGCTAACTGACCATCCAGGAGGTAACATAGAAAAGTTATAAATAAGATATGAAAATGAAGAAGAGGTATTCATATCAGGTGTAAGATTAGTTTGTCTAGTGAAATAGGAGATATAATATTGGTGGTTATCGTTTGTTAATTTTTTCTATTCCATAGAAGTTTAGTATCAATAATAGATTGATATAAGGGTGGTTTTCTAAAATGACAACCATAAAATGTAAATTTTTTTATAAAAATATCTTTTAAAATGTATTGGACATGAACGTTCAGTCATAAGTTCAGGACTTGCAATATCATAGCCATATGAATTAGAAATAGAAGATCAATACATTTAATTTTTGTTTTACATCTAACACTAATATAGGTAGAAACAGTAAATATATCATTTTGAATTTTAGTAGGAAAGTTAGTTGAATAGTCATTAACCCAGTTAAAGTTATTATTGAACAAAATTGAATTGATTTAAATTTAAATAGATTAGAATAAGAAAACTTTTAACATTTTTATATTCATGAGTAGCAACAAAACGTGTTTTTATTATTTAGTCTTCATGAAACGAATTTATACATTCAATTTTTAATTAAATTATATCACCAACTGAAGGTATTTGACCATTAACAATTAACTTACTTTGTACGCTTGAACTAAGATCAACAAAAAGTCTTTCAACTAGTCTATGGCGTTCTAAACTTAAACAAACAGGAATTAAAAATCCTTTTGAACGAATAAAATAATTATTTTTTGGTTATACTTCATTATAAAAAGAATAAGTTAAACGTCTATCATTTCTATTAAAATAATGTGTTGAAGATATTCTTTTTAGTAATCGAATTGAAATTGGATAATTATATGTTTCTGATGCAAGTTCTGTTATAGACTTTTCGTTATAATTATAAGGCTCTTCAAAAATTGAGTACTTTGGTGATGCAAAAATTACCTCACCATAATAAGTTTTCTTTTCGCTCTTTTGTTTTTGTCTTCTTATAAACACTCCAATTAACTGTTTTTCTTTTTGTGTTAAATGCATGACCCATCCTTTTATAAAAACAAAAACTTCTTCTACAAATGTTAGTCCATTCACACGAACTATTACAAAACCACTACACACTCCTCTGACATATATCCAGGATGAGTTACTATAATAGAAACTCTCTACGTTAAAATGAATTTTAAGTTCTATATTTATATTTTTATATTCTTTTATAACACACATTATTTCAAAAAAAACTTTTCTTTTTATATTTTAAATGATGATTTGTTTTATTTTTCTTTTTATTTGTTTAGTTTTTTATCCTTTTTGATTAGAAATTATTCTTATTCTCTGCTTAATAATTTCTTGGTGATAGTAATTTTAGTATTTTTATAATAGATTCTATTTTAATAATCTTCATTATTATAGTCGTATAGTTTTTTTATGTTTAGTTATTAATTTTATATTTTATATCTAATTACTTGTTATTGTTAAATGATAACTTATATCACTTAATAATTTATTTTGTTTCTAGCTATTTATTTACTGATTCGTTTATGAAGAAATAAAAAATTAAATTAAAAATAAAATGAATAACTCTCATTATTTAATATCTTTTTCTAAGTTAGATAAATTAAAGAATAATTCAGAATATTGTCTTCTATTACATCAAGAAAATAATAACAAAATAACAATAAAAATAGAATAGTAAGATTATAAAAAATAATTATATATTTTTGTTATTTGAATATAATAAAATAAATCCGAGAAAAATAATTTACTTAAATCAATTTGCCATTGCATCAGAAGAAGAAATTCCATCCATTGGTACTTTAACAACTGCAGGGATATCTGGTGCATCTGATTCAAACCATTTAAAGAAAGAATTAATAAAGTTATGTCTTGTAGAACAGAATAAGATGTAATTATGATACAATTTAAATAAGAATAAAGAGAAAACAAATCCAATATAAACATCAGCAATATAATGCATTCTATTCGCAATATATAATATGAAACATCCAATAGTAATTGTCCACATAATTAATTTAATTAATGTCATTCTTAATGGATATCCATATGGAGTAGAATTAGGTGTATCTCCTAATAAATCAAATTCAATAATTGGTGCTTTATGTGAGTAATGGTGCCATAAACAAGCACAAATAACCATACTTGCTGCATTACCACTAAACATCATATCACATTCAACTCGATGAATTCCTAATAAGACTAAGAATCCTTCAACAAATATATTAGAAGTATTGACAGTAGATGGTCTACCTGAAGGGTCTGGAAGGATAGTAGTAAACACACATAACCCACGAATAAAATAAATAATTCCTTGAAGGAAAAAATATCTTCTTAATACAACCCAACGATAAGGAGTAACAAAAAATCTAAGTAAAGTAAACCCAATAAAAATTGCAGCAAGAATTTCAGGTAATAAAATAATATTTATTTGAGGTAAAATATCAAATGCAACATCAGCTATAACTATTTCATCATTTACTTGAGGATGTGTTTTTGCCCATTTTTCAAATCTTTTTTGTGTTAATACTTGAAAAATACCATTCCAATATCCACAAATTACCATAAAGACAAATGACCATAAAAATGGATGTGTAATAAATTTAACTATTTGTTTTAATGGTTGTTTAAATAATCCAATAATAAGTTCTTTTAAATCTTTAAATGTATCAACAATACACATAATTCCTCTTGCTGGAAAATTACAATTAGGAAGTAATAAACAAATTTCATTGTTTTGGGTTGTTGGTGTAACCATCTTTTCAATAAATTTTTGTTTTTTAAAGTTTTTGATATAATTTATTTTTATTATAATTTAATAGTAAAATAAGTTATTTCTTCTTTGGTTTCTTCTTCAAGCCATTTTAATTCCTCCTTTTTTTCTTTATCTTCACTTTTTTTATTACTGCCAAACTAAAAAAAGAAAATTGCAGGTAAAAAAGTCATTTGTAATAATGCCAACATAACATTCAAACTAGTTATTCATCGTCTTCCTCTTCTTCCTCCTCTTCTTCTTCTTCTTCTTGGTCATTTAACCATTCGATGAATTCTTTAGCTTTTTGTTTCATTGGAGACATTTGGACAGCACCACCATCATACCACTCTTTCATAGCAGATTTGATTACATAACCATTATTATATAAGTATAACAAAATATTAAGTAAACGAGTATCATTGTACAATTTATATTTTGCACATGCAACATTAAACTCTTCTAAGAATGAAATCATTCCTTGAGGATTTAATTCATCTCCTAAGAACAAATCAAAGAAATCAATTTGTTCAGCAAAATTATCAAACATATTTGCATCAAAAATAATTTCAAACATCTCTCGAATTAATGTCTTTGTACTCAAATTATAACAATGTTTATATCCTCCAATAAGAGCATTAAGTCTATTTCCTGGATGTCCTTCATTAATAATTTTCTTTAAATCGAAATCTTTACCAACAATGCTAAGTTCCTCTTTTTCTCCATTTTTAAGTTTTAATGTGATTTTAACTGTTCTTTTATCAAATGGATTTTCTTTAGTTTCAACAACACCTTCATTAGTTTGTTCATCGTCTTCTTCTTCTTCTTTTTCATGTTTTGGAGGATGAATAAATATAAATTTCAATAATTTTTCATTCTTAGGAACAACAGTTGCTTCACCACAAGCTTTACAATGTAATGTAAGTGTTTTATTTTTAACAATCATAACAGTTTCTGGATTTTCACATTTCTTACATAAAACAAATTTATCAATGAATTTATCTAATACATTCATAAGATCTTTATACTCATGTTTACCATTAATAATATATTTTCCTGAATCAGTGTTAGTAGCTGCTGCAAGTGAAATACCAAAATATCTACACAAATATGATGCTGGTCTATCCAATGCATTTGCAATATCCTCACAATTAACAATAACTGTTTTAATACCATTTCCTTTACCTTCAATTTTATGAATTAAATCTGGCATTTTATAACGGTAGAATTCATCAGTTTTTCTTCTTGGGACATTTAACATTCTGACTTTCTCACTCATTTTCTACTTCTTTCTTTACTTTTTTCAAGTTCTGCCCTATTTTTCTTTCTTCATTTTCTTTTTTCTTTTTTTTTTCTTCATTTCTTTTTTTTTTTAGGTTTTGTTTATTTTACTATTCTTTGTTAATTATTTTATTATTAAAATATAATAAAAATTAGTCTTTGAAAGAGTAATAAATGAACGATTTAGTTTCTTGGGGATTGGTCATTATGTTGACTTCTGTGAGAATAACTTCTACTTCGAGATTTACTTCTAGAATTGCTTCTTGACCTACTATATGAACGTCTTCTAGAATTACTTCTTGATCTACTTCTTGATGAATATCTTCTTTTATAACTAGTACTTTTACGATATCTTCTTCTTGAAGATGACCTACTTCTACTTCTTGGTGATCTACTTCGGCTTCTACTACTTGGAGACCTACTTCTACTACTTGGAGATCTACTTCTCGAACGTCTTCTTCTAGATCTATTACGTTCATACCTTCTTCCTGATTGCCTAAAATTAAGTAATTTTCTTTTTGTTATTACTTAAAAATAAAATCACAAACTTCGGACAATTACGAGCGATATGTCCTTGTTGATGACAAACATAACACTCTTTACTTGAATTGTTCTGTCTGCTGAGTTCAATATTAATTTTTTTGTCATGGAACATAAAAGGAGTAGTTTGAGATAATTCGATTATTTTTTTTGCATCTTCCTCTGTTTCACAAACCTACTTGTTATTTTTTTTATTTTTTTTTGTAACACAAAAACATACAACAAAACAAAATCCAGTTTTAATATCAATACGTTCAATCTTTGTGTATTTACTAAACATCTCTTGTACATCAGATTCTCTCATTTCCGATGGAAAACGTCCAAGAAACAACTTTCTATTCCCCTCCATTCAGTTTCTTTAGTTGTTCTTTTTTTTAAGTTCTTTTTAAGTTTTTTCTTTTTTTAATTTTATATAAATTTTTAGGTTTATTTATTTGTGTGATAAATAACATTTTTAAGAGTAGAAAAAGTAATTACAAAAGAGTGGAATGAATGTATTATTACTAAAGGCCGGTTTTAATCTTTTATTAATTGTCTAAACTAACAAAAGAATTTATTACTAAGGTAAGTTGGTTAAACTCAGTTTTAAACCAAATAATAAACAACTGTTTAATGGATAAATGAAAGAGATGATGAAAATCGAAGGTTTTTAATAAATTTTGAAAGGAAAAATACCAAATAAAAATAAAATCAAGAGAAATAGAAATACGTGGTAACCAAAAAACTGAGATAAAAAAAGATGAATCTAATTTAAGAAAACTCAAAATGTGTTTAATAATAACAATATAATAAAAAAACTATGAAAAAAAAAAAATAAACCGAAGAGAAAACGGGAAAAAACAAATTAATTTAATACTAAAATAAGAAGAAATAAGATCTAGATCAAACCCTTAAAAAGAAGAAAAAGGAACTTAAAAAAATAAATAAAAAAAAACATGACTATGAGACCAGTGAAACTTGTTATCGTCGGTGATGGTGCCGTCGGTAAAACTTGTATGTTAATTTCATATACAACAAACGCTTTCCCAAATGAATATATTCCAACTGTCTTTGAAAATTATAATTCATCATTAGTTGTTGATGATGTTAAAATTAATCTTGGATTATGGGATACTGCTGGACAAGAGGACTATGATAGATTGAGACCATTGTCATATCCATCAACTGATGTATTCCTTGTTTGTTTCTCTGTTATTGCTCCAGCTTCATATGAAAATGTAGAAGGTAAATGGAAACCAGAGATTGATCAACACTGTCCAAACGTACCAATTATTCTTGTTGGAACTAAAATTGATATTAGAGATGATCCAGAACAAGTTAAACGCTTAGCTGAAAAGAATATCATTCCAATTCAACCTGCTCAAGGTGATGAATTAGCAAAGAAAATTGGTGCTGTTAAATATATTGAATGTTCTGCTTTAACTCAAGCCAATCTTAAACTTGTTTTTGAAGAAGCTGTTAGAGCTGTTCTTGCTAAAGCTGCTAAAGAACCAACTGGAAAGAAAGAAAAAGGAGGTAAGAAGGGATGCTCATTATTCTAATTTCACTTTTTGGTTGATAAAAGGAATAAATTTTTATATAAGAGAAATATATTTTGTTTTTTATTTCTGTTAAAAAAAGAATATAAAAGAAGAAAAGAATTGAATTTAAAAAATCAAACAATATCTTCTTTTTGATGGTTGTGGATTCACTGGATTTGAAACATTCACATTATCTTGTGATGTTCCATTACTTGAAATTGTTGGAATTTTAGAACGTTTTGTTGCTTCGACAAATAATTCTGTCACATCTTACCAATGAATAAATATTATAAAAAGTCTTAACAATAATAAAAAAATAACAAACTCTGACCTGTCTTTGCTGAAACTTCAAAAAATAAAGCACTGTGTTGATCAGCAAATGACTGACCCTCTGTTGTTTGAACTACACGAGTTGATTCAAGATCAGTTTTATTCCCAACAATTGCAACAGAAATATCACTTGAAGCTACTTTCATTAAATCAGTATACCATCCTTCAAGTGATTCAAATGATGATCTTGATGTAATATCATAACAAATTAATGCTACTGTAGCACCTCGGTAATACATTCCTACCATTGAACGATATTTTTCTTGTCCAGCTGTATCCCAAATTACAATTTTTACATTATTCCCATCAATTGGAAGATATGTCGTTACAAATGATGCACCAATTGTTGATTTTTCATCTGGTTTAAATGATCCATCAACTAGTCTTCCTGAAATACATGTCTTACCAACACTTTGGTCTCCAATAACAACAATTTTTACTGCATCTTGAGAAGACTGCATCGGATTATTTTAATTTAAATTATTTGAGTTCTCCTTTTTTAATTTTATTCAATTAGTTTTTTTGTTTCTTTTTTTCTGTAAACAATTCTTTTTTTATTTATCGATTATTAATTCCATTTTGTTTGTTCTTCAAATCTGTGTTCTTTCCTTGTTTATTAAATTTATTGATATGGAGTATTCCTTTATTTATTTTTTGTTTTTATAAGATTAAAATACATTAATAAAAAGTTAGAGTATTAAATTAGATATAAGGAAGCCAACCATGAAACATTGAAGCTAAATTATCAACAGATTTTGCATCATTAATAAGTTGTTCAGCTTGAGAACGTTCAGAAACAACTCTTCCTAATTTATCAATACCAGATAAAATACGTTTAAAACGAGGAATTGGTTTTTCAGGGATTTGGGAAGCTCTTTTTTCATCAAGAGCCCAATCAATAAAAGAGGGATGTAACATACTATTAGTTAAAGAGATAATAACGGATTTATTATGACGTAAAGTTTTTAAAACGAGAGTACACATATCAAGAAAGAGACCATTTTCAGATTGAGGACCAAAACAATCAATCATATTAGTAGTTAATCTAAAAGGAACAGTTTCAGGAACAGGAAGGATTTCACCTTTCCAAAATAACATATCAAAATCAATATGAACAACATTTCCATCTTTTGTATTTAATAAAATATTTTCTAAATGACGATCACCAAGACCAATAATTGAACCAAGCATAGACATTACAGCCATACTTTTAGTATAATTTTCTCTTGCATTAATTTGAAGATGAGGAGTAAGAAAAGAAAGATTAAAATTAGAATAGAATTGAGGAGGAAGAATATAAGAAGAATTTAAAATATATTTTTTATATAAATCAATTCTTTTTCTTTGATCAAATTCATTTGAAACTAATTTATGATAAGTAACAATATCTTTAGTACGAGAATCAAAAAATAAAGATTTCATAGGAACAGTATTAGTAGCCCATTCAATTAAACCAGTATCTTCAGACATTGGTAAAGCAGTATAAGTTTGAATTTTTAAATTATATTTTTGAGTATAATGAGAAGTTTCAAAAAGATGATTAATTGCACCAAATAATTCTTGAACAAAACTATCTTTTCTAATATCATCATTTCCTTTACATAAAAAATAATAAGGAATAGATTTATCTTTAGATAAAATAGTAATTCTTTTTGGTTTTTGTAAAGAATTAAAAACTTTAAAAGAATTTTCAAGACATTTAATTTTAGGTAAAGATAAATCAAAAGGAGAATAATTATTTTGTAAATGAGAAAGAGGAATATTAATTGTTAAAGCTTTTTGAGTAGGAATAATTAAATGACTCCAATTTTCATTAAGAAGAATAGAATATTTTGGATTTCTTTTTGAAGTAATTTTATGAATTCCAGGTTCTAAACCAGTATCTTTTGCTAATAAATTAAAAGCATCACCAAATTGAAATAATTCATTAAAAAATAAATGAACAGTATTATTAATAGTATTTGCATTTTCAATAATTTTTTTAACAATATTAACTCTTTTTTCATTAGAACTAAAGATAGAAGAAGCTAAATGCCAAGAAACTTGTTCAGGATATTTTACAAGGACTTTAGTTAAAATAAGAGATAAAAAAGATTTAGAAAAATTAGGTTGTTCTAATTTAGAAATAATTAAAGTAAGAAAAGGATACCAAAGATATTCAGGATAATAAAGAACAAAATCTTTCATAATTTTTTTTCCAGTAGAATCAATAGAATTACTTAAAGAAATAATTTTTGGAATAATATAATATAAATATTTAAAACCATATTTTAAAGAGAACATATATTTTATTAATATTTCATTAATAATAATTGAATCATTTATATCAATTTGTTTTACAGTTTCAAGAAAATGAGCATAAAAATAATATATTTTCATTTTTAATTTATTTTGTTGAAAAGTTTTATTTTTTATTTCATCTTCATCTTTTTCAAAAAGAGCTTTTTTATACCAACTAAGAATTTCATCATAATTTCCATTATTTTCTTCAGTTATAATAGCTATTTTTAATGCTAATTTTTTAATAACATAATCATATTCATTTAATTTATTTAATTTATTTTTTTTATTTATTTCATCATATAAAACTTTTAAATCACTTAATATTTCAATACAATGATTTTGTTGATATTCACTCATACATTTTTCTATACCAATTTGATAAATAATATTAGATGATATTATTTCATTATTTTTATTTTGATTAATTTTAATAGCAATATTACAATAATCTTTTGATTTATTAAATAATTTTGCATTTCTACATAAATGACTTAAAATAATAAGAGATTGACTAATTTTATCATTAATTTCTTTTATTAAATTTTGAATTAAATTAATAGTTACTTCTGTAGTCATTTCATTTTGAATAGGTTTAATTGTATTTAAAATTCCAATTTGAATAAGAGTTAATGTTTCTATATCTTCAATATTTTTATTAAGATATTTCATTCTTTGAAGAATATCTTTATATTTTTTTGTTATATTATTATTATTATTATTATTTTTTCTTTTTGTTAAATATTTAATATCATAAAATAAATGAAGTAATTTAATTGTTTCATATGCTCTCATATATGATATTTTAATTTCTTTTCCTAAACGTTTACTAAGAATTTCAATTCCTTCTTTAATATTAATTTTAATAGTATCTTTATTATATTCAAAAATACATTTCCAAATAATTTCCCAAATTTTATCTTTAAAATAAAATTTTATATTATCTATTTCTTCTCCTTTAATAAATTTTCTAATCATTTTTCTAATAATAAATTCATCTTTAGTAGATTTATTAATTGTATTAATATTATTTTCTTCTAATCTTTCTTCTTCATTTATTTCTTCATCATTAATTATTCCTGAACTTTTTCTTTTCCAAAATGCCATTTCATGTTGTTTACCAAGTTCTTTTGATAAATTAATCATATCTTTAATAAGTATTTTTTTTTGATTTTCATTTATTCCTTTATTATCATGAAGATAATTTTCTATTAATACATATGCTCTTTCTGGTGAATTAACTGCTTGTGCAGTTGATGCAATAAGCATTTGATCAATTCCACTAAGAAATTGAACAATATTTTCATTATCTTTAAATCCTATTAAATAATCTATTGTTTCAAATATTATTTGAGATGCATAAATTGCATTAGAATTTTCTTTATTTTTTTTAATTTTTTCAAGAACATCAATAACTTCTTCTATTATATCTTGAATTGATTTAGGACTACATTGAATTAAAGAATATTTTAATGCAATAGGAAATAATAAATGAATTATAGGTATTTGACAATTAAATGTATTATTAATCATAATATTAATCATTAAATTAAATATTTGATATTCAGTTGATACATTATTAATATTAGATATAATAAATGAATAAAATGAAACAATCCAATTAGTAAAAATACAATATCCTTTTTCTAAAAACATTTTTTTTTCAAATTTAATATTTGGTTCATTAATTATTGTAATAGAATTATATGAATTCATAATATTATTAATAATTGTTTGTTGTTCAATTGGTAAATTATTCATAATTCCATTAATAATTTTACTTTTTGTTTGTTGTAATACTTTTTTTTGTTTTGTAAATCCATTTGTTAATAAATTCATAATTACAAATAATAATGATTCATCTCCTCCTCTTTCAATAAGTTCTGGAACAAGATAATTTTTAAGTAAATTAATAATTAATGTATTCATATTTGTTAAATTTTCTTTATTAATTGAAAATGAAATATCTTGATGAATTCTAGATGGTGAAATAGCACCTATAACTCCAATAATTTTTCCAATTTCATATTCAATATCTTTATTTCCTTTCATTTCTTTAAGTAATGTAGTAAGTGTATTATTAAGTTGTTCATCATTTAATTCATTTAATGAACTAATTCCTCCTTCACTTATTATTTTATTAATTTTTTTTAAAATATAATATTTTACTTTTCTACTTTTACTTTTTGTTAATAATTTTTTTGCAATAGCAAGTTCTGGTTGTTGTTTTTGTTGTTGTTGTTGTTGTATTTCAGTATTATATTCTAAATTAAATTCTGGATAAAATATTTTAATACTTTCTTTATTTTTTTTAAGTTCTTCAATAATATTATTTCCAATTCTTTTAATTTCTTCATTATCATTTCCTTTATCAAGAATTTCTTTTGTTGTTAATGCAATTTCAAGTATAATATCATCATTATCTTTACATTCACACATTTTTCTCCACATTCTCATTATATCAATTGTTTGTGAATTAATTTCTTTTCTATTTATTACTTTTTTTGTAATTTTTCTGATAATTTTTAATAAAATATATTTAATATCTTTAATTTCACTTTTTATATTGAGAAATTTTATAATTCCATTAAATCCATCATTCCATCCAAATACACTTTCTTTTGTATTACTAAATCCAAGTACTCTTCTAATACGAGTCATAAAAATTAATCCATATTTTTTTCCTATTTCTTTTATTATATCATCTTTATTATCTCCAATTTTTATTTGTTCTAAACATACTATAACTTTATTTAATATAATTAATGTATTTTTTATTTCTTTTTCTTTACTACGTAATATAAAATGTTCAAAAATACTTGAATGATCTTTTTTTAATAATTCCATAATAATATTTTGTTGTTCTATATTAAGTTTATTAAATACATTTTTAATTTCAATAGTTACTTTATTTAATAATTTTTCATTTCCTTCTTTAATCCAATCATGAAATATATGATAATAAATTTCTAATCTAATATTAATATTTTTAATATAAATTTCAAATCCTTGATTTTCATCAATATTAAATTGATTTTCAAATTTCTTTTTAGTTAAAATATTATAAATAATTTTTGGAAGAATATTTTCTTTTCTAATTTCAATAAATTTATTAAATCCATTTTCATTCTTTTCATCTAAAAAATGATTAATAAATGATTTTTGATAAGGTTGTCTTGTTAAATAAAAAATATCTTTATCTAATTCTCTATGTTCATTAAACATTTTTTCTATTGTTGAATATTCTAAATATTTCCCACATTTTTTTATTGTTTCAATAATTCTTATTCTTATCATTTGATTTTCATAAAATTTTGGTTCATAAATCATTTTTTTTATAATTATATTAATTTTTGTTATATCTATTTCATTAATAATTTCTCCAATTATATCATATATTTCATTTCTATCTTCAATTTCTTTCTTTATCATTTCTTCAATAATTCCTTCAAAATATTTTTTATTTTCTTCATTATCTTCTTCATCTATTCTTTCTGTAATTACTTTTGATATAAATCTAAAAATAATTCTAAAAATTTTACAATATTTTTTATTCTTTTTTATCCCTTTCATTCTTTTAACCATTTCTTTAATTTTTTCCATTTTTTCTTTATTACTTATTGGTAAATGAATAATCATTCTAATATATGTTTCTCCAATATTACTTCTTTCTTCTTTTTTATCTTCTTCTTCATTTATTTTATTATATTTATTTTTAATTATTTCAGTAATTCCTTCAAATGTTAATGTTGTTTTTATTTGATACATTTCTTTTATATTTTCTTTATTTCCATCACAAAATGGACATTCAACTTTATATTTTTCTCCTTTTCTATTTCTTTTCATATTTATTTTATTTGTACTTAATGCAAAATAACAACATAATTTTCCAATAATTTTTTCATTTTCTTTATTAATACCTTTTCCAAGTGTTTTTATCATTAATTTTTGATTAATATTTTTTGCTCTTTTTGAATTTATAGGTAAATATGTTAAAATATATTTCATATATTTTTTCATAATATTTTCATTTTCACTTATTATTTCTATAAATTCTTCTTTTTTACTATCATTTTCTGGATATCCAATAATTAAACATTTAATTATATATTTTAATCCTTTTTCTTTTTCTTTTTCTCCTATTTTTTTAATATAATGTTGATATAATATATTTAAATATGTATTAAGTGTTGAATAAAATTGTTTTTCATTTATTCCCATCCAATATTTTTTTTCTGTAATTTCTATACTAATAAATGTAATAACTTTAAGTATATCTTCTTTAATTTCTTTTTTAATCATATTAACAATTTCATTAATAATTTCATTTCTAATTCTTTTCATAATTTCTTCATATTTTTCTTCTTTTTTAACACATCTTGTACAATATATAAATCCTGTTTGAATACAATTTGCTTTTTTATAAATTCCTTTTGATTCAATAATAGATATTAATTTATTTTCTTGTTCTTCTATTATTTTTAATCCTTCTTCTTTTTTCTTTATTTCTTCAATAATTTCAATTACATCTTCTCTTTCTCCACAACACATTCCATTAATTATAACATCTTTATATTTTTTTATTATTTCTATTCCTCCTTTTTTTATTATTTTAACCATTATTTTAAAATAAATTGGTGTTGTACTAATATTAATTGCTTCTTTAATAATATATTGACTTTCTTTAATAATATTAATTGGTATATTTTCTAAAACTCTTTTAATTTCTTTTGAAATATTCTTTTCTTTTATACTCCATTCAATTATTGTTTGATAAAAATATAAATTAAATGTTGGTGAGTTGAGTTCTTTAATTAAACCAAAAATAAATTCAAGTGTTGATGAAATAAGATTTGTTTTATGTTTATCACTTTTTATAATACTTATCATTAAATCTATTATAGGTGTATAAAATTTAACTTGACTTTTTTTAATAAGTATTATACAAATTTTAATTATTCCACATGAAAAAATTATTGGATTAGTGATAATTTGTTTTGAATTAGGTATAAAAGGATGTTTAATATAAATTATTTCTTCTTTATTATTATTTATTTCTTTACTTATTTCTTTATTAATTCCAAAAATTAAATCTGGTATAATATAATAAATTTGTTGAATAATACTTTTTCTACTATATACACCAATATTCCTTCCAATAATTTCACAAATCTCGTTTTGATATTTTAAATATTTCTTTTCATTTAATGTATTAATTAAGTATGGAATTTTTTCATTTATTTCATTTTGTGTTTGATTTTCACTTTTCAATCTTTTTATCATTGTTTTTATCTCTTCCTCGTTCATTTCTTTTGTTTACTTAGTTTCTCTATGAATAACAATCTTATTTCCTAAAAGTGTTATTTAAACTTAACGTGGTAGTGATTTGGCTTAACGCAATTCATTTTTTTATCTTTTATCATAATTTATTATTCATTATATTTGAACTTATGGAAAACAATCAACCAATTACACTTGATTTCCTTGATAAAACACTTAAAACAATGTATTCTGAACATAATATTAATATTAATGATAAAACTACTATTAAATGGATTGAATATTTAAGTATGATAGAAACAAATGATGATACAAAATATTTAGAAATTCTTGTTGATTTTTTAAAACATATTGATAATAAAGAATTTAATGAAAATTTATCTTTATTTAATGAAGGAAAAGGAACTTTAATTCTTGATAAAATTCTTAATATTTGTATACAACCAATTATTTCAATTGAAAATATAAGTAAAATTATTACTTGTTTAGCATTTATTACAAATAATAATTTTAAAACTAAAGAATATTTATATAATCATAATATTATTGATGGAATACAAAATTTATTAATTCAACCTCAAATTCTTAAAATTTTTGAACAAATTTTTAATACATTTCAATATGAAAAAAAAGTTACTACTCAATTTACTACTGTTCAATTTGTTACTAGTTTATTAAGTGGTTTATTAACTTTAGTTACAAATTGTGAATTTATTCAAAAACAAATTAGTGACATTGGTATAATTGATTTATTACTTCATCTCTTATCAAATACTAAATATATTCCAAATGAATTATTAACAATTTATGGAACTATTATTGCAATTATTGATACTTATATTGAAAATTCATTTAAATTCCTTCCTCAAAATACAATTTTTATTCTTAAAGATTTAATCTTTAATATACAACCTAAAGCTATTAAAATTATGGCAATTAAAGCTTTAACTGATATTAGTAATTTAAAATTACAACTTTATAGACCTATTTTTATTGATTTAATCCCTCTTATTGAGAATGAAATTAATAATATTAATGATGATTTTATCAAACAATCATTATTATTATTATTTAGAAGTATTTGTATTGATGAAAAAATTGAAAGTTATAATTTTATTCCATTTATTAATTCATTAATTGAATTAATAAATTCTCCTATCAATGAAACTATGATTTGTGCTTTAGAAACTTTAAATGTTATTGCTTTAAGAGATGATACTTTAAATATTTTAAGTAATAAACTTGATGATATTATTAAAAAATTTAATGATATAAAAGGAGATGCTTATTCTTCTTTAATACTTTTACTTACTAATATGGGAAGAATTGATATTACAATTAGAAAATATAAAACTTATAAATTACCTGAAAAAATAATATTTTATATTAAATCACATCTAAATGATGAACGTGCTTTACTTATGTCTTTATCATTAATTAATTCTATATCTGTACTCCATGAAAATAGAGATTATTTAGCTTTTGATCTTAACATTTTTGTTGTTCTTAATGATTGGTATAAAATTTCAACTAACCAAGTCATTATTTTTAATATTCAACAAATTATATCTCGTTTAATTTTAAATTCATCTCATCGTGCTGAACTTTTTATGAGTATTCCAACTGCTCTTAATGCTATTATAGAAACAGCTGGATACACTGTTCGTTTATTAAAACAGAAAATAACTCCTCAAAATTCTACAAGAGAAGTGAGAGATGTCAGAGTAGCTTATGAAGCAACAAGAATACTTTGTAATTTAATTATTTTAAATTCTGATTATGCAAATACTATCATGAAAGATCCTTATATCATTTATGCAATTCTTGATTTAATTCATTCTCATTATCAAATCTTGAAAGATGAAGGATTTTCTGCTTTAAATCGTTTGAAACAATATGAAATTATAACTGATGATGATATTACCAAAGCTGAAGCAAATCGTATTTGATAACTAAATCAATTCAATATTTATTTTCTTTCTTTTTGAACTTATTTTCTTATTATTATATTTGTATAAATCATTTTTTTTTATTTTCAATTCTTATCTTTTAAAATTATAATTATCTCTTTTATTTTTTTATTCATTATTTCATTCTTATATTATCTTTATTTGTCTTCATTTATTTGTTTATTCTTTTAACTTAATTCATCGTCATCTATTCATTTTTCTTCCTTATAATTTGGTTTATCAAATAATATTCTTCTAACTATGTTTTTTTGACACTTTGATAACTCTGACAAGTTTATTAAAATATTGTATTATCATAACAATGCTGTTTATTTAACAATTTAAATATTAAACAACTAAACCAATGTTGTTTATGTTTGACCCTAATTAAAATTGTTTTAATTGAAATAGAGCAACCATGAATATACTATGATAATAAGAAATGTTTTTGACAACAGTTGTATTTTATCTTACTATCTCTGATTTAGAATATCAAATACTTATTGGTCATTAACACATTGTTTATGTGTGTCATTAGAGATATTTCTTATTCTTATTAAGAAATTAATTTGACTTGATGAAGAGTATGTTTAAATAACAAGAGTTATTGTATTGTGGTATATTTCTGTTGATACTTCACCAACTAAAAATGAGTGTTTTGTGACACCATTCTAATCATTCAAAGAATTCTTCAATAAACTTATAACATTAATCACATTTAAATGAATGTTCTATCATTATGATATTTAGAAGTAATTTCACTTGATACACTTTCTATTAACATATTCTCTGTATAACGTAGACTTATAATAGAATGAGGTGGTTATTAAAAGAGCTATTAGCAAGAACTTTTTATAAGAAATGAGACTAAGAAGTAGTGTATAGAAATAACATGAAAAATAGATTGATTAAGGAGATTGGAATAGAAAAAGAAGAAAAAAGTGGAAAAAGAACTTAAAAAAGGAATAATAAAATAATGGAACAAAGGAAAAAAGTAGTTAATGAATTAGCAACTACAGAGAAGACATATTCAGATATGTTACAATTAGCTATTAACATATATTTTCAACCAATACAGAAATCAAATATCTTAGATAAGAATGAATTTGAACAATTGTTTTGTAACATTGAAACAGTTGCAATGAATTCGATGTTATTATGTTATGACCTTCAAAAAAGAGAGTCTAATTTTGAACAACATGATATTATTTGTGATGTTTTATTATTTCGGAAAACATTATTTGATTGTTATAATGAGTACATTAGGAACTATGACCGGGCGATAGAAAGATATGGCAAGTTATTAAATAAAAAGAAGTTTCAAGAAATATCAAAACCAAATGACAAATGTTCATTGGGTTTAGGAGGATTATTAATTACTCCTGTACAAAGAATTCCAAGGTATGTTCTTTTAATGAAGGAATATATGAAATGCACACCAAAGGAACATCCTGATTATTTAAATGCAGAAATTGCTTTAAATATTTTTCAACAATTAGCAAATGAAGTAAATCTCACAATGGCTGATGAACAAAATAGAGAACGTCTTCAAAAGATAGTAACGAGATTTGCATCATTACCAATAAATATTTCAAATTATATTTTAGAACAACCTCATCTTTTATTAATAGAAGGAATGTTAAATAAATATTGTAGAAAAGGGATAAAAAAGAGAGTATGTTTCTTATTTTCTGATCAAGTATTTATCTATGGATCTCCTGGTGTTGGGTCACAATTATCTTATCATAATACAATTAAACTTATTGCATTTAAATCAATTAAAGATACTGATAAAAAAACTAATGTTATTCAATTAATTGGAAAAGAAAAAGCATTTAATCTTAGTGCTGAGTCTTTACAAATTAAAAAAGAATGGTTAAGTCAATTGTGTTTTGCCCTTACTGGAGAACAAAAAACTGAATTTATTGAAGTTGATGATGAAGGGAGTGAAGATGGTACAACAGTTATTATGACGAATGAAGAAGAAGTAACTGAATGTATGAAATGTAAAGTACATTTTAATTTAACAACAAGAAAGCATCATTGTAATTATTGTGGAAAAGTTTTTTGTGATAAATGTCTTAGTTATAGAATAGTCCTTCCAAAACAATTACAAGAATCTAAAGTTTGTGTTGATTGTTATGATAAAATAAAGAAAATAGAACCTCCTTTACCATCGATTCCACCACCAAGAAGAAAAAGTTTATTTATTCAAAACACAACACAATTTAAAAAAAGAGAACCTCCTCGAATGAGAAAATGTGGACAATTTCTAGTTCGTACACCATCAATAAAAAATTTTGGAGATAATGGTTTAGACTCAATTCAAAATTAAATTTGTTTTATTTCTTTTTTAATACGATCAATTTTAAACAAATAAAATAATCTATATAATAAGAAACAAAATTAATTAAAGATATTTTCCATATTCAGAATTGAAATACCAATCATAACTTTTCTGTACTTCTTCTGGATTAAAAGTAATTTTTGATATTTCAGCTTCTTTTCTACCAAATTCTTTTTGTGGTTGTCCATTTTCTAAAGTATCTTTTAAAGCTTCATCAAATTCTTTAGAATATTCAATACCAAAATATTCATATATTTTCTTTGTAGTTTCAATTGGATTTTGAACCATTTCTTTGAATGAAATATCAAAAATGAATTTTTTACGTTCTGGATTTTCTTTAATCCATGACTCTCTTATTGTAAGAGCATTTTTAAGATATAATTGATGAAGATAAATAACGTTATTATTAATAAATTCATAATCACTAACTCCTAAATCATCTTTTAATCTTCCCATAGCATTTAAATAAGCAGTAATAGCACTATATAATTGTTTGACTGGATCTCTGTGAATCCAAACAATTCTTGGATTATATTCATCTTTAGCCATAATTTTAAAGAAAGGAATTGGAGTTAGGAAATGAGTTGCACATTTCATACAAATAAAATCTTTATCTTTTAATGGAAACTCCATTAAATGCATTTTCATTTCATCAACAATTCCTTTATATACATAATCAAAGTTTCTAGTAAAAGCATTACAACGATATTGTTCCAATCTAGGTAATCCTCCGATATGAACAAAACATTCATTTTGAGTTGTTTGGAAAAAGTATTCTTCTTCTGGGTTATGTGGATTTAAAGCATGGACAGATTTAAATTGGTCATTACTATTGTTAATACTATTAACAACACTTGTAGCAATTTTAATTCTTCCTTCTTCTGACATTGTTTTACTTCCAGCACAAAAATGTTCATACATTTGAATTGATGAAGCATGAGGATCAGAGGCTAAACAAAAATGAGTGAATGTAGATCCACTTCTTGGCATAGAAATAATATACATTGGATTTTTAATTTCAATTTGATCTAATTCTTTTTTGTACATCTTTCTTTCTTTAAGGAATCTTAAATAGCAAGCCATCTGAACAACACAAAAAGTGAACATAGATTTAAACATCTTTGATTCTGGATCAAAACAACCAGCAAAAAATTCTCTTGTTGATTCTTTATATGGTCCATAATTAAGTTCTTCTTTAAATTCTTCAGCAAGTGATTGATATAAAGCAGTATTTGATGGTTCAATACTACAAAGAAAACCAACGGCATGTTGTTGAATTTTAATGTAAATAGGTTCAAATTTATCACTTGGAATAAGTGGTGCTGTGTATGGATTTTTAGTATTTAATTCATATAAATATGGGTTTTGGGTAAGCATAAACAGAACTAACGAATTAAAATTCTTTAAAAAGTTGCTTAAATATCAGTATTTTAAATTGTAGTATTATTTTCTTATTTAAACAGAAATAATTGAATGAAATATAATTCTAATTTAGAAGAAATATCTGATATTCGTTTATTATTTGTTTTATTTAGTTCATTTTTTGAACCTTTTTATATTTGAAAATAAAATAAAGTTTTATCAACTTTCTGTAAAAAAATTCTTTAAATAATTCATTCTTTAACAAAATTATTATTTCTGTTATTTGTTCTTTTTTTTTTTGTTATTATTACTTTTATAACATTATTTATGATAAAAATATTTGTTTTAAGAAATATAAAAGAATTAAAAATATAAATTGGATCTATAAAAAAGATTAAATAGATAATCTTGAATTAATAAAAAAATAGTTAATAATAATATATTTCTTGTTTCATTAGATAAAAAGTACTTAACATTACTTTAAATTAACATTATTAAATAAATTGATTTTTTTAATCAACAATATCATTGTCTATCATTTCGTTTGAAAAACCCTTCTTCTTTCTTTTTTTGTTTTTAATGAGTATTTTTTTTTGATCTTCTTATTGTGTCAATCATAAATAAAAAGAATAAACTTCATTCTTATAACTGCTACGTTCATTATGTGGAATATTCATATATATCAAATTGTTAATTTTTCAATACTAATTTCTAATTCTTATTTTTGTCTGTAACCCACCCCAAAGGTACTTGAAAACAAAATATACTAATTAATCTCACGAAACATATAATGAGTAGCTTCATTAATTAATTCAATGTATTTTTATTTCAAAGAGGTTTTATTGTTTCATTTGGTTTTTTTAATATTTTTTATATTATTCAAAAATTAAAAGTACAACATAGAATAAAACAAAATTATAAAAAAATATTAAGTTAATTTTTACAGTAATAATAACACTCTTGTTTCGGTTCTCATTCTCCAAGTTACTATTTAGTATAAATAAAACACTGCTCAATTTCTTGAATTAAAGGTTTAATAATAATTCAAATGATCATTATTTTTTGAAAAATTACTTGTGAGGTATTGCGTTGTATAAGGAGAAATATCTTTGTTCTCATCTTTGTCTTTCTATAGTTTCGATAAGTTCTAAAGTAATATATTTATAAGTTATTTTAAACAAGGGTTTAGTGTTTTTATTTCCTTTTTAACGCTTTTCTAATTTTTATTAATAAAACACAAAAAAAAAAACATCAAAATATAGGAAAAAAGTGTATTTAGAATTTTTCAACCAAAATTCAATATATAGGCTTTAATAAAATTATTACTTATTCAAAAAAAAACATGCGGTGAACTTCACTGAAACTATATAGGAATAAATCTGTAGTGAATTACATTTCAAGTCAACGAAAAAATAGTTAATTGAAAGGAAAAACTCCTAAAAATTGAATTTATCCTTTAATAAACCAACGAATAAATATAAAAATGAAAATAGATTATTAATAGGAATTGTTTATGAAAATAATTTATAAAGAACTCAAATCAAATACCAAGGAGAAAGAGAAAAATATAAATTGAACTACTTAGAAGATATTTTACCGAAAGAAAAAAAAGAAGAACCAAAACTTTCTTCAAAAAGTATCTTAAATTAATTGATCAACTTATTTTTATTTCAGGATGATTAGTATTATAATACAGTTCATTGTAATTGGAAATGCACTTCAATGTTCTCCTGGATGTCCTACATGTTTAACCAATTATACATGTGCAGACAGTTGTCTACCTGGATATGAACAAGATAATTCATGTACACATTGTCAATGGGTAAATCCATATAAACCAGTTAAAGAAGCATATATTCCAAATAACGATGAATGTTTAAAAACTACAAATGTTATACAAAAAACAGGATGGTTACCATCAAATATTCAAGAAATTAAATTAAATGAAAGAATAATATTTACATTAAATGATAATTCAGATGTAGATTATAGTTTTTGTCAATATAAACAAAAATATAGATTTGGAAAATGGTTTAAAATTAATTTAAATCAAGTAACTAATGCTGTATTTGTTGCTGAAATTGAAAAAATAAATAAAGCACCTATAATATTTTCTCTCGATATGACAAATTCCAATTCTTTTGATCAAATTCCTCAATGTTATGCTCATAATCAAATGAGTAAAGATGAATATAATTTTACTATGATGGTACCTGCTTATAAATCACGGTCTAATAAAAATGATGAATTTGTTTATCTTTTTGCATCTATTGAAGGTTCTGGAAATGCTGAAATGTCTTTAACAGTTTCTCAAATGGATGGAAAATATTTTGATCCATATTATATCTTCACTCAAGAAGTTGCAGATTCTTTAGCTTCAGATTTAACTAAAGAAGAATTTGTTCATTTTCCTGTAAAAGCAAGAGGAATTCATGATTATTCATATTGTGCTCAATGTAGATTAATGAAATTTTTATTGTTTAGAATGAATTTTAAAGGTGATTATTCTATTTTACTTGATAGTACTACTGCAGATAAAGTTAATTATCTTCAAGAATATACTGTAAATAATACTTGTAAAGTACTTTATATTGGTAAACCTTTTGGTCATTCATTAAATAGAAATAATGGATTTAAAGTTAGAATTCGTGGAGATGAAACACCTCAAGTTACTGAAAGATTCTTTACTGTATTAACTGAAGATAAAGGAAGTGATATTGATGTAGTTTTTAGAGCTATTTGTCCACATGATTGTAATCATAAATTAGGTCAAGGTATGTGTGTTACTGAAGAAGGAAAATGTCGTTGCAATCCAGGATTTGGAGGTGATGATTGTCATAAATTATGTTATTATAATAATCAATGGCAAGTTGATGATTATAAAGGTTTATGTAAATATGGAACATATGGATGTGATTCATATTGTCAATGTAACGATCCAGACTATATTCAACGTAATAATCTATGTATTTATCCAACTTGTCTTAGTGGACAGTTAGGACCAAAAGATGAATGTGCACAAGGAAGTGATGGATGTACTGAAACATGTAGATGTGATACAGAAAATGGATTTTTTAGAACAGAAAATAATAGATGTAAATATGATAAATGTGGTAATGGAGTAATTGATACTATGATACTTAGTGATGGAAAAATAAAAAAAGAACAATGTGATAGTGGAGTTAATTGTGATTCATTTTGTTATTGTGTTGATGGATATATTCCTGATCCAGATAATCCAGGTTCATGTATGTCAAAACGAATTTCTAGTGGGGCTATTATTGGAATAATATTAGGAAGTTCAGCAGGATTATTGTTTATTATAGGATTATTCATATTATTATTTTTTATTTTATTAAGGTATGAAAGAACTAATATTGAAATTTTTAAACAACAACAACCAACATACCATTATTATATTAATGGATCATTAAATAAAGAACCTTTAAAAACTAATAGATATAAAGTATTTCCATATGAATTAGATTATGGTAATGAAAATGGAACAACAGATATAGAAGATACAAGATTTGAAAGAATTGAAGTGAAAAACTATTCTAAAAATAAATATATGATGATTATTTTTCATACACCAAATAATCCAAAATTTGTTTTTCATTTTGAACCTCAAGTTCTTATTATTAGACCACATTCTCCATCAAAAATTATTACAAGTTATATGACAATTCATTGTACTACAAAAATTAGAGATATGAAAATTCCTTATACTGTTTGGTTTAGTAAATCAAAGTCTACACTTGAATCTATTGCAGAATTATTAAAAGATAAAACATTTGATAATTGGACTCAAGATGACCAAAAACAAATGGAAAAACTTTGTAAAAGTATTACTAAACATTACCATTTTAATCTTACAATTATTACAGATGCTGCTTCTTCTACTCATATTGATATGGATGAATTAAATATATCAGAAAAACCTATTGCTGAAGGGGCTATGGGTCAAGTGTATATAGGAAATTATCGTAGTGTTCCAGTTGCAGTGAAAATATTTAAATGGCAAAATTTAACAGAAGAAGAAATGAATGAATTAAAACAAGAAGTAATAGCAGAATGTGAAATAATGAGTAAATTAAGAAATCCTTTTATTGCAAATTATATGGGATCAGTTACATATTTACCTCAAGTAACAATGGTTATTCAATACTTTGTTTTAGGATCATTAGGAGAATATTTACGAACAGAAAAAGAAGGTTTTGTAAAGTTACCATATAAATTAAAGATAAAAATGTTATTTGATACAGCAAGAGGAATGGAATTCTTACATGAAAATAATATTCTTCATTTAGATTTAAAACCAGATAATCTATTAGTTAATTCTTTATATTCAGACTCTGCTTGTTGTGTAAAAATTACTGATTTTGGTACTTCAAGAGTAGTAAAGAAAAAAAGTAAAAATGAAGATAAAGGACTTGGTACTCCAATTTATGCTGCTCCTGAAACTTATTTTGATAGATATTCTTTTGAAAGTGATGTATATTCTTTTGGTGTATCTGCTTGGGAAATCTTTTACCAAGATGAACCTTATAAAGAATTTAAATCTATATTTGATATTAAAAATTATGTGGAAAGTGGAAAACGATTACCTTTAGGTGATAGTATGCCACAAATATTAAAAGAAATTATTAGCGAATCATGGAAACAAGAACCTGAACAAAGAATTACTTTTGAACAAATTACTAGACTTCTTCTTAAAGCAGATAATGATTCAGAAAATCATTCTGAATTAGATATCGGTGTTTCTGATGAAAGAATAGAAGAATTAATTTTAAAAAGAACACAACATATGCAAAATCAAATATGTGATTTGAATCATGATTAGTTTTTGATTTATTTATTATTCTTATTAACTTTTTTTTGTTTTTTTATTATTAAAATAAAAGAATAGTTTAGTTTTGTTATCAAAATTTCATTTAAAAGAAGGAGATAAAAACGATAATCATCGCCAATGAAATGAAAGAAAGAGATGCAGAGTTCGAATCAATACATCCTGTTTTATCACATCCCTCTTCACATGAAAGACTACACCTCAAACACTTTCCTTCATCTTCATAATAATGGAATTCACATACAGCACACCCTTCACTATTTGAACATTCCCCTTCACAATTCTCACATCTAGTACAATATCCATCTTTTAAATAATATCCATCTTCACATTCTGTACAACCAGAACTACCACATTTATCAGACTTACAAGCACCACAAGCTAATAATTTGAGTATAAAATCTTAGCAAAAAGAAAATAAATAAAACAAACAATTACAAAATCCATCTTTGGAATAATATCCATTTTCACATTCTGTACATCCAGTGGTAGAGCTACATTTTTCTGACTTACATTTATAACAACTATAACAATATCCATCTTTTAAGAAATAATCAGGTAAACATTTTGTACATTTATTTTGTGAATCACAACTATCAGCAGCACAATTTAAACAGTCTATTTGATTATTTTATTTTTTTTTCTTGTTTTAATTTAATTAAAACAAACATTCACATGAATTTGAATTTGAATTTTGGATAAATCCACTACCACAACTTGTTTTATCTTCTGAAGTAAATCCATCTAAATCTATTGAAATTAATATTAAAATAAAATAATAATATTTTTTCATTAAATTTAACAAACACTCACAACTAACTGCTGCATTTTCTAATGAAATTTGTTTATATCCTGGTTTACAAGAAGTACATTTAGTAGAATCACAACTATTGCAACCAGGATATACCCCATCGCATTCTAAACAATCTCCTCTATCATTAAGATATTGATTGTTATCACAATCTGCAACAGAAAGACTAATCAAAAATAATATAACAATGGAGTGCATGAAATAATACTATTATTTTTATATTTTTTTTATATTTTTAAATTTGTAGGTTTTCTTTTATTTTATCTAATTATCCGGTTTTTTCCCGTTCATTTCCATTATTCTTATTTCTTTGATTATTATTTCATTTCAAATAAATTAATTTTGTTCTTGTTATAGTTTTTGATTTATTATTACTTTTTAATAAAAACGAAATTAAAAATAGATAAATAACAATTTTACTTTTTGTGTTAATGGATATAACTAATGCAATATGTTTTATTTTTTATTATTATTAACTTTAATTAATTATATTATATATCTCTACGAAAAGTTGAAAAATCTCTTTTGAACATTATTTTCGGTTTTAAGTCTGAAAATTTTATTACCAAAAGACTAACTTATTTCTTTCAATACTTAAATTCTCCTCATCTATTCATTTTACTCCTTCAATTATTTTTTATAAAAAAATATTTTCATTAAAATAAGGATATACCAATTTTAATTTCATTGATTTAAAGTTGTTATTTTGATTATTTATAATTTTGTATTGAATAACAAAAATATATAACTTTTTTTATTTTCGTTGTATATAACAATAATAAATATTTTTTCTAAATAAAAATATCAATATTAAAAATTTTATAAAAAAATCTCAAGATTGTGAGAAGTTTTTGTATGGGAAGTGGAATATCTAAAAACATCAATCAAGTTATTGAAGAATATGACCAGAGTAAAAGTAAAGAAATATTTGATTCTCTTGAATTAATTACTATTAAATGTGATGAACAAGAACAAATAGAGTTATATCAAAATTTTATTAATCATGAGTCAGTACGTAACAAATGTATCCAATTTATTAGTGATGCTATAATATCTTTTAAAAAAAGAGATTGGTATGAAAGTTCAAATCATATCATTCTAATAATGAAATTACTTCCATTAGTATTACCATCTCTATCAAATAATATTCTTGAATCATTTGTATTATATTTAATTAATTCATATCCAGATTATAACCCATTACTATTTCTTTGTTTATCTAAACCTTTATATAAACAACCACAACTCTCATTATCACTCTCTTCACAATATTTAATGAAATTAATGAAATGTTCATTTGATTATTCTGATGAATATTCATTATTATTAACATTACTTTTATATTCTGATAAAGTTAAACATCAAATTAAGACATCATTTCTTTTATTATCAACACAAGATGCTTTTGCTGTAATGTTATCTCGACCATTAAAGAATTTATCTTTACCATTATTTATTACTTATTTATCATTCAAAGAATGTAACCAAACATTATTATTAAACCATTTATCATTACTGACACCAACAGATCAGAATAGTTTAATGGTTATTATGCAAGGATTACTACAAACATCTCAAACATCATTTCCACAATCAAATATTTTTGATTTATTATTACCTTATTTATCTCCAGATTATCCACCAGCTCTTCTTTCTTCAGTAGCAGCAGTTCTTTATAACACATCTCTTTTTGCATCAGATTTATCTCCATCTTCATCAAATATATTAATTTCAACATTCATTTTATATTCATCTCCACACCAACTCACATCAAATAATTTTAGTTTATTCCAATTGTTAGGAAGAATCATTCATCGTTTATTGCATAACAGAAATACTAATCTTCTTTATTCTTTAGTAAATTCGTTAGATACTCTTAAACAAATTCTTCAAAGACCAATTTCTTCATTAGATTTACCAGATGCATTTAAAATATGGGATGAAGATAACTATAGAGAATACCTTCAAGAATCTAAATTAAAAATACTAGTTAATCATTCTGAAAAGATATTACCAATTCTTTCTAACTTTTCATTATCTGAAGCACAATTACTAACCACTAAATTGTTTGATGAGATATCAACAAACCAATTACAAACAGATTTTGATGAATTATATAGATGGTCTTTACCAATATGGGTAAAAGAAGTAAAATCAACAATGTCTTCAGTATTATGGTGTTAGACTATTTAATTTTAAATAAATTTGTTATTTTCAAGTAATAATTTTGTTTTTTGACCAATTCAAAAAGAAAATTAAAAGAAAATAAAATAATAATAAAAAATCACAATATAATTAAAACTTAAAAGAACTAAAGTTTTGAAGAAGTAAGAAACAATGGAATTATGTCACAAAAAAGAAAAATGTGTTATTCGGTTTCAAATTTATTATTGTATTATTGATAAAAGAAAAGAAGATTATTATGCACTTGTTAGAATTAATACAAAAGTATTTAAAGTTATTATTCCAATGGACAATTATTGGTATAATGCATTTTTATATGAAATGTTTGATTCAATTTAAGTATTAATTAAAATATTATAAAATAATATTATACTTATTTTATTTAGTCCTCTTAATGAAATACCAAATGGATTTACTATTTCATTTTGTACTATTCATGATGAATGTGTAGGAAATACATACATTAAATTATCTCCATATCAATCATTAACACAAAAATATCCAATTCAAACACAAAACATTGTTGGTGAAACATTAATTTATTCATCTGTCTATATTATAAATACAACAAAGATTCAATCATTATCATTATTTAGAAATGGAGTTCTTAAATGGAGAAAAGGAATAATACCAAATACTACTATTAAAGTTATTAAATCAAATTGCATTTATCCTTTATTTGATGGAAATCAATATCATGTTATTTATAATCAAATGGATACAACTCTTCAAATTACTATGAACCAACCATATTATCATCTTTGTTATTATTTCATTCATAACCAATCATTACCTTCTTATACATCTTTACATATTCCTTCAATCTTACTTAATTCTCTTGGACCAACTCAACTTATTGGACTTTTTTTAGCTTTATTAATAAATAAAAGAATTATTTTAACATCTAGATGTACTACAACAGTTGTTTTTGCTTTACTCCAATTATTAGATTTTATTGTCCCATTTGAATATACTTCATTTTGTAAAGCGCCTTGTACATTAGATGAAATAACTACATTATCTTCTTATTTTATTGGAGTAGTATCAACTGAATCTATTATTCGTCCTGGAGTTATATCTGTTGATTTAGATAAAGGAATTATTTATGGTCCTTTTGTTAATATACCTCCATCTATTACTTCATCACTTCTTTCTAACATAGGTCATTTAAGGGTAAAAAAAGATTCTCGTTATTTTATAGCTTTTAGATGGTTTATGGTACAATTATTAATTAATGTAAAATCATATTTAGCATATAGTTGGATATTTGATTGTCCCAAAGGGTTTTTTGATAAGAGTTCATGGTTATTATCACTACCTGAAGACTGGTTTGAATTTGGATTAACTCTTAGTAAAACACCAATGTTTTGTCAATACCTATATAAAAATAATGAAGAATTTAATAAATGGATTAATGTTTATGAAGGGTATTCTTTCGAAGAAGCATGTTCCAAAATTGATTCTTTATCTTATTCTATTCATATAGGAAAAAAAGGTATTTCTCAGAATATTGATTGGATCGCTTCAGCATTTAAGACAATAAATATTGATAAAGTAAATTGTTGTTCAAATATTCCTCCAATACTAGAAACTAAAAGAAAAATATTGAACAATAATACTATTAATGAGGTTGAATGGATTTATAAACCCAACACAATTTCTTCAAAAAAAATTAGTGATACAATTAAATCACAAAGAGGAAGAATTTCTGTTTGCTATTCATTAGAACAATTTGCCCATCAAACATGGTTAATAGAACAAGCAAGATTTGAAACTCTTAGTAAAATTATCATTGAATTAAGTGATGTTTGTTTAAAGGAAAATGATGATGAAACATTAGCATGGATTATTGATATAAGTGATAAAATAGCAATTGCCTCTGGACAAAAACTTATTACGAAATTACGTAAAATTCCAATAAAAATTGAAGTATGGAAACTTATATTAGAAAGACGATTAAAAGAAACTAAAAAGGAAATTTATCAAGAACCTAATCAAATAATTTTAAATTATAATTCAATTCAAGTAGACTTAAAGAACAAAATGAAAGATCTTGAAATCTTAATGGCAACTTCTATTTTAAAAAGTATTATTTCATTAATGGAATTTTTTGGACTAAAAAGTAAAGGATTAGAAACATTTACAGATGAGATTACAAAATATATTCCATTTGGAAATTTACTTCAAAACCACCAGAATTAATAATTGTCTTGTATAATTTAATTTCTTTTTTTTTTACCTCCGTTTTGAATCAAATTTTTGTATGAATAAAATAGAAATATGAAAATAAAGAATTAATTCTTTAAGTATTTTTATATAGCTTTACATTTTTTTTATTCTAATTCAATTGATTCTAATAGTTTTGTCTTATCTTGAACTTGTTCTTGTTTGATAAATTGAATTTCTGGAATATCGTCAGCATCTTGCTCAATCCAACAAAGAATATAATTAAAGGTATTATTTTTTGTTTGTGCAAGTGGAATATAAGAATGATACAGACAAAAAACTGTTGAAGCTAAAATAATTCCTACAAACACATCTGAAGTATAATGAATACGTACTATAGTAAATAAACACCAACCACATGCAACATATAAAAGAACAATAATTTTGAATGTTAAAGATAATGAATAATGAAGTCTTTTAGAATGAAAGATAGGATATTGGTCATGATAATAAATAAGAAACATTCCAGTTAATGTTATTGAGCCAGTATGTCCTGAAAACATCTTATCTACTGTTGAGATATGAATACCTCCTGATATAAGGAAACTTTCAATTAATGGATTTCCTGTTACATCTGAATAATTAATAGAAGGATCATTTAGTAGTGTCATATAAACACAAATTATTCTAACTAAGAACATTACTCCCATTAAGGTAACAAATCGTCTTAAGACTATTAATCTTCCTTTAGATAAAAAGAATCTAAATACCATTATTACAACAAGAAATCCAAGATATTTATCTGCAAATCCAATCAAATCTCTAAAGGAAAAGATAGAGAAAAGAAGATCATCTAAAACAAATTCTTTAAAATGAATTGTTGGATGTGATCTATACCATTGTCTTTGGAATTCTTGTGCAAATGAAATTGATAATCCATTAAGTAATCCACAAAGAATCATAAATACAAAACAACAAATAATTGGACTAGTAAAGAGTCTTTTCAATGCTTGTAAAGGGTGTTTGAATGATAGTACTAATCTTTTTACAAAAAAGAAAGTGTCTTGAACAGAAGACCAAAAATAGTAAGTACAACTTCTCACTCCATTCCAATCTTCAACAATAATAGTCTTCTCTTTTGGTTGTATCATCAAACTGGATTTAATTGAAATCTGTGTACTCATTGAAAAATCTCAGAATATATTTATATTTTTATTTCAAAGTTTAATGTTTAGAATAGCTTCCTTTTTTTTAATTGTCTCTCTCAAGTTATTATTGTCTTATCTATTTTAAAAAATGACAGATTTGTTTGTCTGTTTCAATTTTTCTAAAACTCTTTTTTTTTTTCTTTTATATATATTCATTCTATCATTGAATGATTAGGTTTCTATAAATACTGTTTGACAATTTGGGTGCTTCTAAATATTAAAAGAAGAAGATTCTATATTAGAGGTACAAAAGAATATAATATTATTTAATTATAATTATAATATAAATTAACATTTGTCTTCTGTGGTTGTTTTGTATCCAGAAAGATGTTTTATCACGGGTATGACAAAAAAAATTGTTTGGTAAATATTTGGGGACCAACAAGGTGATGCGAAGAAGTCAAAAATTGCTAAGACCGATTCAAAAAGAAGATGAACCAGAATACGAATGATAAATGTAATGTAATTGTTAGGAGGATATAAAGAAACCAATAAAGAACAAAAAATTAAAAGATGGTTAAAGAATAACATTAATGTTTTTCATTCGATGAATAAAAGAATGTAGAAATTTGTAAAGATGATAAAATAAAAATAAAGGAGTATATACCTAAAGATAGAAATCATTAACTAGATTAAAAATATTATTAAAAATTATGGTGATAAATAAATTTAAGAAAATGACAAAACCAAACAAAAACTATAAAACAGTATTGTTACTTTATGAAAAAAATACATTAAATACTAAATGAAGTATTTACTGAAGAAGAATCAAGACAGATAGATTATTGGTTTATTTAAAAAATTAAACAAATGGAGTGAAGTACATAATAACATCAACTAATAACTAAATATCTATTTTTATTTGACACTATTGAATTAATAAACATCTAGTATTGCAAAAGTAAAAATAAATCAATTAAAACATATCAATATTGAAATATTTTAAAAATCTTTGAAATTATTTTTCATAGTTTGCAACTAAGCGTTTATTATTTTTTTTAAGTTATTTAATAATAATCTGAGTAATATTGAAACATTATATTATTAAAATATATATATATATTCATCCTTTGTATGAAAGTCTCTGGACAAAATATTAAAAAAAAGGAATTAATTCTGGTTCACTAGGTTAGATGTTGTTAGGTAATTTAGAGTATATCATTTTTGTCATAAACTGGATTTAGTAAATATATTTTAAATGAAAAATTAATCCTTCTTGTTAAAAAACCAATACAAATTCAATTCTAATATTTTCAGTAACTTTTTTATTTGATTATTTTTTATAATCAATTAATTATTTTTCCATTGCGAATTGAATATTTTTTCAAGAAAGAATTAATTTTATAGTTCAATTAATACATTTTAGTGGTAATACTAAATAAGTCTTTTGACTGTTATATAGAATGAACAAGTAGTTCATAACTCTATTATTATTTTAATATATTTTGCAAGAATTAAACTCATTGGGTTTTCTACTTGATAAATTTAGATATTGTTGTTATGTATCTTATTGGAATAAAAATAATGAAAATAAATTATTAAAATAATGTGTTAAAACATCATTAAACAAGTCAACAATATCATTAATACAACAACAAAAATATCTTATTATCTTTTGTTTCTTTCTTAATGAATAAAGAATATATATATAAATGAACAGAGTAAGAGTTGTAGTATAAAATATTAGAATGAAAATTTAATAGAAACTAGTATTAGTTAATGTAATCAATAAAAATTTTTTATTTTTGGAATCTATCTAAAAACTAAAGTTTCATTAGTAATTTTATACAATGGGTTATAACAATATAAACTGAAAAGAAAATAATAAATGAAAGTACTATCTAAAATAAAAATAGTTAAGAACTACTTCTATACATCAATCAAATAGTAAATTCAGTTTTGGTTGTTCATTTAACACATCAATAACATTATCATAATCCAATTGTGTTAGCTGCCCAGTTTCATTGGGTTGAAAATCTCTTTTCTTTATAGTAATTAATGGTTCAGAACGTTCCATAGAATTATTAACATCTATTGATTTATTCAGAGGAAAACCACTTGAGCTTCTAAAATTTCTTTGGGTTGGGTATTGACCAAAACTTTCTCTTCTGAGAAAAGGAATGAGTTCGTTTGTGTAAGAATTATTATTTATAGAATCCCTCCTATACCCATTTGGTTGGGATTCAGTAAATACTTCAGGTTTGTATTGTTGCATTGATTGTTTTGGAATATCAACCAAATTTCTTTGTTGGAATGGTTCTCGAACACTTAATTTTTCTTGTGGTATTGATTCTCTTTGTACCTCTCTCGAGCTAATTGCTTCTCGAATGACATCCCTTATTTCTCTTTGTGATTCTCTTTGTGTTTTTTCTTTTGTAAGAAAATCCGATCTTTGCACAGTAAACCCATTGTCAAATTTATTTGGTGTTTCTATAGATCTTTCAACAGTTTCAGATCTATCTTGTTGCTCAGAAATATTTTTACATTCAGGAAATTTGTTACTTTTTTCTAAAGAAATTTGGGCTTTACTTGAATTTTGTTTAAAAAGCTCCCAAATAGCACTTTTTGGTTCAGTGCCTTGTTGAATTAGTGCTTGTGTTAATGTCACAGGACCAGTAATGGGAGGTATATTTCCTTCGATGAAACTGTGAAGATGAGATATGATAGTTTTACAATTTTGCGTTGGAAGTTCATAAACAGAAATTGTTTCACATAATATCTTCCAAGAGATTGAATCAGGAATTATTTCATTTCCAATAACTACTAACGCAGGAATGTGAATCGACATTGGTAATTGAGATATCTTTTTTATTAATAAAGTACGTTGTGAGTCTGGCAATTTATTAATAAAAGAGACATATGCTTTACATTCACCCATTCTGGGAAAATGAAATAATGGCATATGTTGTTGGTCAATTTGAAGAATTTTTAAAGGATATTTAATACAATATTCTAATTCAACCCAACGAAGAGTTGGAACTTTTGTAGATAAATAATAGTAATAATCCTCAAAGTTAATTTGTAACGAAATAGTTGATTTAGTTAACAACTCAAGTACGTTTTTGAGAAAATTTTGAAAGAACAAAGGAGATGGTTGTGGATCAGACATTCTTAATAAAAAAGTTGAGAATTTAGTTCTTTAAGTTCATTCAAGGAATTAACATTCATGTGACAACTTGTTTTAAAGAGAAAAATGGTTGTTTTCTGATTTTTCTTCATAACAAATTGTTGTATTAGGTTTTTCAATAATTTTTTTTTAAATCCGTTATATAAAACAAAAGAAATAATTAATATCCAAATGAAACGAACTAACATTTTGAAGTTGAATGGTACAACGAGAGAATAGTGAAGACTTAGAAATTATTCGTGATAAAGAAATTGAAATGAAACCAACTGGGACAAACGAATACCATCCAATTGATGATAGTTGGAAAATAGAAAAAGATAAATTTTCAAGACCAATGACTAAACAAAATAAAAAATTAAAGAAATTTTATGAAAAACAAAATAAATTTGTTGACTCTCTCTTCGAAGTACCAGTAGATGATAAAGATGATATTACTGATTGGAGAACAAAAATAGCAATTTATGGAAGTTTCATTATTAATTTATGTTTATGTATAATCAAAATTATTGCTGCAGTAGTTTCAGGGTCATTAACTGTTATTGCAAGTGCTTTAGATTCATGTTTGGATATTGTTTCTGGTGCTGTTATGTTTATTACTGCATTACTTATGAAAAAACCTAATCCAATTAAATATCCAATTGGTAAAAAAAGAATGGAACCTTTAGGTATTATTGTTTTTGCTACCGCAATGTTTACAGCAACAATTCAACTATTAACAAATGCAGGTCAAACCTTATTATCTGGAAGTTCAGATTTTGAAATGTCTATGTTTCCTATATGTGTAATTGGTGCAACAATATTCCTTAAGTGTTGTTTGTTTTTATATTGTAGAACAGTAAATAATCCTGCTGCAGGTGCATTAGCTGATGATCATAGAAATGATATTTTAACTAATACATTTGGTATGTGTATGTCAATTATTGGATATTATTATTTTTGGTGGTTAGATGCTGTTGGTGGAATTATTTTATCATTTTATATTATGTTAAATTGGTTTATGACATTATTAGAATATCTTTCTATTATGTCTGGTAAAGCAGCTCCACAAGAATTTATTTCTCAAATCATTGTTACTTGTTGGAATCATGACCCAAGAATTAAAGCAATTGATACTGTTCGTGCATTTCATTTATCAATGGGATATATGGTTGAAGTGGATATAATCTTAGAAGAAAATATGACATTGATGGAAGCTCATGATATTGGTGAATCTTTACAAACAAAATTAGAAAAACATCCTAATGTAGATCGTGCATTTGTTCATTTGGATTATAATGATGATCATGATGTATTAAATGAACATGAAATTGATAATTAATTTAACTATTTTCAATTATTACATCGTTAAATGTTTCCCATGCATTCCATAAAATTTTAAAATCATCATCCTTTTGTTTAAAAACTTCTAAGAGTGGTAAAATTATTTCAAATTCATTTTTCTTCTTTATATCAAGAACCAATACTGCACCAGTTAGAACCAATTGAAAAAGATGAATAATGAATTGTTTTTTTGGTTCATTTAAAATAATTTCATTAATAATTGATTCTTCTAAAATACATTCTTGTAACCAACTAATAACGTCCGTTTGTAAATCATTAAGAACTGGAAGCATTGGATAATAAATATTAGCAAGTTGATCTATTTCCACTCTTGAATGTATAATAATATTATTCTCAATTTCATCCCCCTCATTAAATCGAATAAAATTATTCAAAATAACAATAAGAGATTCAATAATTTGACTAATTTCATATAACCTTTTTGAATTTAATGAAAGATTTGATCTAACTTCTATACTAAGTCGGGAAATAAGAATTTTAATAGATTCTAATGGTCTAATAGAAAGAATATCTTTTGATGAATCAATACATTGTGAGACAACATTTATAATTTGAATTGTATCAATTTCACTTAATTTATTTGATAATAACTTACAACAAAAAGAAAGAAACCATTGTTTTGTTGTTAAATTAATGGACGATAAATTAATCCAAGGAATTAATTTGAGAACAACAATTTGAGGTGTTTTGGAAATACATTGAGCAAATTTAGTACAATATTCTGGAATGGTAATAATTTGACTAAACCAATGAATAGCATCACATAAAACTAATTTTGAATAGATATTAGGAAGTATTTCTTTAATTTTTAGTGATTTTTTGATTTGTGGATTATAAAATAATGCACCAAGAATTCCTAACACTGTTGGTAATGATTGTTGTAATGAAGGTTTATTGAAAAGTCTTGAAACTAATGACAATGTAATTGGATAACTCATTGAATGATTAATTACTTCATCTGAATGAATAAACAATTGTAATAATGTTATTAACATTTCTGAAGTTGGTTCATTCTCATTTTGAGTTTCAAGAAGTTCTATATAATTACAGAAAAATGTTGGACCTATTGCTTTGTAATACTGAATAAATTCATTACTAAAAGACAATAATGTTTTATCTTTATTCCTCTTCATTATAAATTCATATCTCTTTGTTAATACAAATAACCCAATTATTTTTCCTTCATTTGATGGTTGTTGAAGGTATTTAAGTATTGTTCTTTCCATTCCTTTTTCTTTTTTACTTATTTAAGATTATTAACTTTTTTTAGATGAAAAGAAAGTAATATATGAATGTTACTTTTAAGTAAAATAAACAAACTGATCATGAATGGTCCTACATACTATAGCGAAAACTCTTTGCTAGAAAGTAGACAATTTATCCCTGAATTAATTGAACAAATCCCTATCACCACAAAACCATTAATAAAAAAAGAAATTAGTGATACACCAACAACAAACATAGCTCAAGAACAAGAAACAATCATCCCAATTAGTCTAACCAAATTTTTGAGAATAAACACACCAACAACAAAACTCCTTTCAAATCACAGCCCTCATCAAAACTATGAACTTGATTTATTATTTGAACCAAAGGTTAAGAGAAAATTACTTGTAATACAATCTGAACTTATTTATGAATCATATAAATATAACTTAAATTGTTTAAAACAAATAAAAAAATCTTTAAATAAAACAATAGACCCTTATTTCAATTTTAATCAATCTCAATTGGACCAGACAATTATTAAACTCACAGATTTAACAAAAAGAGCAAAAAAAGAATATAAGAAGCAAAAACTTCAACGACTTTATCATTTATTACATCTTAATTGAATTTTTCATAATTAATAAAAACTAAACCAATTTTTATAAACTCAAAAACATTTTGGAATCGAATAACATAGTTACCTTTTAAAATTTGATGTTTTTACATCGTAGCTTGGTTTCTGGTGATGCACTGGCTAGTTCATCAGAATTTCTTGGGCAACGCTCTTTCTTCCAAATCTTAACTTCAGGTGCTTCTTTTTTAGGTAGATCACATTTATTTCTCAACACTCCAAATTCATCACGCTTTTTAACACATTTTTCACGATATTGGGCAAAAACATCCTTCTTTTGAGTATCGCATTTTTCACGATATTGAGCAAAAACATCCTTCTTTTGAGTATCGCATTTTTCTTTGTATTTTTCAAAAACGTCCTTCTTTTCAGGTGGGCATTTCTTTGGTTCAGATGAATCAAACTTAGGAACAGAACTTGAGCCATGTTTAGGTGTACTTGAACTATGTACTGGTGTACTTGAACTTTTTGTTGGGTGACTTGAACTATGAACTGGTGTACTAGAGCTATGAACTGGAACACTTGAGCTGTGAACTGGTGTACTTGAACTATGAACTGGTGTACTTGAACTATGAACTGGTGTACTTGAACTTTGTGTTGGGTGACTTGAGCTGTGAACTGGTGTACTAGAGCTATGTACTGGTGTACTTGAACTGTGAACTGGTGTACTTGAACTGTGAACTGGTGTACTAGAGCTATGGACTGGAACACTCGAGCTGTGAACTGGTGTACTTGAACTATGAACTGGTGTACTTGAACTATGAACTGGTGTACTTGAACTGTGAACTGGTGTACTTGAACTGTGAACTGGTGTACTTGAACTGTGAACTGGTGTACTTGAACTGTGAACTGGTGTACTAGAGCTATAGACTGGAACACTTGAACTATGTACTGGTGTACTTGAACTTTGTGTTGGGTGACTTGAACTATGAACTGGAACACTTGAGCTGTGAACTGGTGTACTTGAACTATGAACTGGTGTACTTGAACTATGAACTGGTGTACTTGAACTATGAACTGGTGTACTAGAGCTATGGACTGGAACACTTGAACTATGTACTGGTGTACTTGAACTATGAACTGGATGACTAGAACTGTGTGTTGGTGTACTTGAGCTCTGTGTTGGTTTGCTTGAGCTTTGAGTTGGATGACTAGAACTATGAATTGGGGTACTTGAACTTCGTGTTGGATAACTAGAACTTTGAACTGGTGCACTTGAGCTATGAACTGGTGAACTAGAAGATGTTGTTGGAATGTATGAGGATTCTTCTTTAATAACAATATGTCTGTACCTGATAATAACACGGTGTTCAAGTGATAAACATCTGATTAATCTTGCTTGATTATCATATGAAATCATATTGAGTCCTTTTCTCATTTGAGCATTTAATTTAACTTTTAACATTGCAATTTTTCTCAAATTCTTTCTAATTGTTCTCATTTTACACATTAATAGTTTTCGATCTTTAATACCAACCAAAATTGACATATCCTTCATGTCACTTTCAACTTCTTTGTTTAATGTTCTTTCAATAGCTTCCAATCGTTTCATTTTCTTTTCGATTGTAGAGAGAAGATATTCGAGATGAACCATACGGCACTTACATTGTTTTCCAAAGCAGTGAAGATACTCACACTGTGGTTCACAAACCTATTGAGTTAACCTTATTTTCTCAGTCAAAAATTTCATTTACTTAAATGCCGAACATAAAGTATTTCTTTTCATATAAATAAAATATAGATGTAATGATAACATTTTTGTTTAATAAAATTTGATTTGAACAAACTTTTCCACACTGCTCTACAGCAATACTTACTGTTACAATCATTAACAATCCAATTAGTTGTAACATTGTTGATTTATTTAATATTATAAATGAATTTTTAGATTGTTTCATTTTTATTCTTTTTTATGACTTTTGCTTTTTTCCTTTTTTAAACCTTTAATTCTTGTTTTAAATAACATAAAATCATTTAAAGCATAACACAAGATGTTAATCATCGAAGCTACACTCTAGACATAACAACGATTCAAGGAAATTGTCAGTTGTAGTTGTAATTGTATCAAACGTAGTTTTTTTATTTTCTTCTTTTGGTTCTGGTTGTTTATTATTTTCGTTGACATTAATGACAAGTTTAGTAGCTTTAATTTCTTTTGTTGGTTTGATTTCTTTTGTTTGTTCATCCATTTGTTTTGGCTCTTTACCTTGTAGTGCTTCAGTCTTTGGTTCAACACTTTCAATTTTGCTTTCTTTTTTAGGTAATAAATCAGAAGATTCCTTGACTATTGACGAAATTCTTGGTTTTTTTTCTTTTAATAACTTTTGGTGAATAGAAATTACTCGTGGTGTAGTTCTCACAATTGTTTCATTGTCCTCTTCACTTTCTGATGAAATAACTATTTCATCATTAAGTTCTTTAGTGGGAATTATTTCTTTTATCTCCTCGTTTTGTTTATTTATTATTTTTTCTTCTTCAGCTTCTTTCAATTGTTTTTCTTGTTGTTGAGTTATTTTTTGTTCTTCTTGGTCTATTACTTTGTCCAACTCATCTTTTAATTCCATGTCCATTGCACTTTCATCAATGATCTTTGCATTTCCATTAAATAGAAAACGGTTATGATCAAATGACATAACCCCATCAAAAGTACCAGTCATTCTGAATGGGGTATGAACAATAATAGGATGATTTCCGTTTTGAATATTTTCTGAGATGAGATGTGATTGTCTGTTCATTTTAATGACTACTTTTTAGTTTTTTGTTTTTTCATTTAAAAGTTTCATATGGACATATCAGAGTTAACACAAACCCTTTTTCTTGTGAAAAAAAGAGATGTCTATAGATGAAGAATATAATTTGATAGTGGGTATTTATTTATTTGATACTTTTTAATTAGACGAGTTTGAATTTATCATATTTTATTATTTAATTATTTATTCTTATGAGTAGTACTAGTATTAAATATTTATAATAATAGATAAGTATGAGAACCAAATTACTTCATCAACCAAATTGATATATCATTTTATCACTTTACTCAATCTAATTAAATCTCTTCTTTTATCACAAATTGATTTTTATTTAGTTACTTATTAAATGGTTTATATTGAATATTGTTTTGTTTATGGTTATTGAATATTTATTTTAATGGTCAACATATTTAAGTTTCTATTAGTATGACCATTAGTTATTTTATCATTATATCAATTAAAAAATAGAAAATGGTAATGTAAAATGAAAATTTCTTGTTAGTGGATAAATAATAGATATAATTCATATACTTGAAATGAAGATAACAAAAATTTTATTAATTTATTCATCAAATTGTCTTTTCATTTGATAAAGTCATGAACAATTTAATATTTTTTAAATGAAAAGTTAACTAAATATCCTGAAAAGTTAGGAGATCTTCTTTAAGAAGAGAAAATGAAAATAAAAACTAGTTATTTGAAAAGAAAAAAGAATGCATTCTCCACCACATAACAATATACATACGTTTGATTGGAGTAATGAGAAAGAGGGGAGACATGAAGTTCGAGTTGTTTACAAAGATATGGATGATGATGGAGAGCCAACACCTACTTCAACAGCTAAAGCTCAATTATATGGGGTAGATGGAAATCCTCAAGAATTTGAAGTGTCAGTCCCTGTGAATTATTTTAAGCTTTATGGATATTCATGTTGTCCATGTTTTATTCCACCACCATGCTCACCAGCAAATTCACATAGGTATTGTTTAGCACTATTTTCAGCAAGTTTTATGTTATCAATTGTTCAAATCATTATGTTAATTGTAGAAATTTCATTAGATGGGTTTGAGAAACCATCAATTAATTGGATGTTAGGACCAACATCTAAAGCAATGAATACATTAGGAGCGAAGAATGATTATGAAATTAAATGTAATTACCAATTATGGAGATTAATAACACCTATTTTTCTTCATGGAGGAATTATTCATCTAATTTGTAATTTAACAATGCAATTACGACTTGGGATGATTATAGAACGTAGATGGAATTCATTTAGATTTTTAGTTGTCTATTTTGTTAGTGGTATTATTGGGAATTGTTTTTCTATTATTTGTCAACCAACAAGTATTGGAGTTGGAGCTTCAGGGTCATTACTTGGAATATTTGGAGGATTTGTTATTGACATTATAATTAATAAAAACAAATTTGAAAACAGAGTATGGTTAAACCTTATTGGAAGATTAATGATATCAATTATAATTATCTTTGTATTTAGTTTTGCTCCTGGAATAGACTATTCAGCACATATCTTTGGTTTTATAGGAGGAGCAATTTGTGCATTTGGATTACTTGCACATCAAAATCCTTGGATAACAAAAAGGTTATGGGTAAAAATAAGTGTATGGATAATTTGCCCAATAATATGTCTTGCAGTGATATTATTAACATTGTTATTATTATATCTTGGAGTACTCAATGTTGGGGAATGCAATTAATTAATTTTTAAAAAACTTTAAAACATTAATTTTTATTAATTAAAAGAAATAGAAAAAAAAAATTAAGCAAAATATTTACATTATAATCATTTCTGTATGACTTTTCCAAATTAGTCCACAACACAATAAAATGATAGCTAATCCTATAAGAATTTTAAGAGTGTCTATTATCCATTGGTTATGTTCTTCTCGTTTATAATTTTTTCTACGTTTTTTCATCATTGTTTTACGTTTATCTAGTGATTCAAAAAGGTATTGAGAAGAAGATTTTTTAGGATTAAATCTCTTTTTTTCTTTACGATCCCATTTTTTGATTAAATCAGAATGAATTTCTTTTTCTAACTCTTCTAAAGTAGAATCATTTTGTGCAGTATATGGTGTGACATAACTACCACTTGATGTTTCATTTATTTTTTCTTTTATTTCAGATTGTGATTGAAGTTTATATGAATTATCTTCTTCTGGTTTTGTGAATTTGATTACTTTATTAATAATTTGACACGTTTTTTCAAAGTCATCAATTTCATGTATGTTTAGTGTATCTGTTGAAGAGTCTTCTACTGTATCATCACAACTAGGTATTGGAGAAGTTAATGGTGTTACATGAAAAATTGGAATTAATAAAGGGGTAAATGAAGGAACATTAAATGTAATATTATTTGTTTGTGTATAAAAAGAACGTTGATAATAACTAGATAATGTGTCATTTGATGACATGAAGTATTAAGTGAACAATTAGTTATTAGTTAAAAATCTTTAAATGTATAGGTTCAATGTTTTTGATTTTTTGTTTTTTCTTCGTATTCATTAATTCTTATACTTTCATTTTTTCTTTTTAATAACCATAAATACAGTTTTTTTTGTTCTTTTATTTCCATAATTTTGATTTTTGCCGAAGGAATTTTTCTTGAAATGAACTTTTCCATTACAATTAATAATATAATTTTATCACTTATCTATTTCTTATCAAATTTTCATATTTTTATGGTGTTTTCTTTATTTTTTATTTATAATTTAAAAGTTAATAATTCTTTATTAAAAGTATTTGTTATTCATTCATACAAATACTAATTATAAAATGGAATTATGTTTAAATTGTATTTTTACCTTTTAAAATTCATCATCAAATGATTTTAATTAATAAGTTAAAAAACATAATAAACATAAGAAAATAACCACCGATTTTGAATGTCATAAATAACAAAAAAATATATTAAATTAATTTATAAAAAACATTGAACATAAAATATTTTGTTATGTATTTTATATGTCATCATATAAACCAAGTAATTTAAAGCTTTGTTTTCAACTAGACCAACAAAGTAATAAGTAGTGATGAAAACAACTTTTTTTGATAACCCAATCAGATGGGGTCAATAAGAAGAAGATAAAGGAGAATAAAAACAAAGAAAAGGCATTTACCCAAAAAATATCAATTCAAAAACAGATAATAAAAATTGTTTTGAAAAGAAATAAAAATGTTTTAAATAGAAGAAAATGAATAAGAAGGAATAAGAAAGAAGTAAAGAATTGAAGAAAAGTTTAAGTAGTTCAAAATACAATAATATAACTAGAAATAAACTAAAAAAAATAGGACGCTAGTTATATTTAAAAAAAAAAAAAAAAAAGATAAAGAGAAATAAAGTAATAAAATGGGAATTTAAAAGGATTTTTAGAAAAGAAGAAAGAAAAATAATGGACGGCGAAAATATTAGTTCAACTCTTCAAGATCAAAAGAAATGAGTATTTAAGGGTTAGGTCAACTTAAAAAAAACATTACTTGAACAATGGCTGGAATTCAACTTGCAGATGAAGTCACTAGTGTTTACAATGATTTCAAATTATCTCATAAGTTTAGATATATTGTCTTTAAAATGAACGATGGTATGACTGAAGTTGTTGTTGAAAAGACTGCTGAAAAGAATGCAACATATGATGACTTCCTTAAGGATCTTCCAGAAAAGTCAGCCAGATATGCTGTTTATGATCTTGAATATGATACTCCAGAAGGATTAAGACAAAAGATTATCTTCTACTTATGGACTCCAGAAGGATGTAAGATTAGAGAAAAGATGTTATATTCTGCTACTAAAGCTACTATTAAACAAGCTCTTGTTGGTCTTTCAGCTGAAATTCAAGCTACTGATGCTGGTGAATTAAATTTGGACGAAGTTATTGCTAAAGTAAAAACTATTTCAAAATAAATTCATTTTAATTCAATTCTTCTTTTTTAGTTTTTTTTGATCTTTCTATAATAATGAATATGTTTTTTATTATTTATTTTATTATATATTATTTTGTAAAATAAAAATATTTTTTCTTTTGTAATTTATTGTTAATTTCTTTTTTTTAATTTATGTGGATGGTCATGTTTATCCCATTTGTGCTGCAAACGCGTCTTGTCAATTGTTGTAATTTATTATTTATATAATTATTTTTTTGTTATATATTACATTATTAATTATTTTGAGAAAGATATGTTTTTAAAATTTCCGAATATATTTTTCTGAGATTGAGATATAGAAATTTAATGATTCTAATATAGTAAAAATAATAAAATAAAAAGTAAAAAATTGAAGAGGCATTTTCAAAAGATAAAGAAAAATCAAGAAGAATGAACGGAAAGAACTTTTTATAATCATTTTTCATGTTTTTGTTCCTCGTATTCCTTTTATGTGAAATAAATGCTATTTCATTTAAAGAATGGATTAGTGTTCATAAAAAATCATTTAGTCCAATTGAATATTTAAGAAGAAGAGCAGTTTTTATTGAAAATACAAAATATGTTAATGAAATGAACAAGCAAAATTTAGGATTTACTTTATCTAATGAAGGTCCATTTGCTGTTCTTACTCGTGAAGAGAGTATTGCTGTTACACAAGGATTTCGTATGGATAAATCTGATCTTGAACAACACAAAACTTTGAAAAGAGAAATGACTGAAGCTATTGATTATAGAAATATTCAAGGAAAAAATTATATGACCCCAGTTAAAGACCAAGAGAATTGTGGTTCATGTTATGCTTTTAGTTCTGTTGCACTAATGGAAACTGCTGTTTTGTTGGCATATGATGATCTTAGTCCTAATACTTACGCACTTTCCACTGCTGAAATTGTTTCATGTTGTTATGATCCTAATGGATGTAGAGGGTGTGAAGGAGGGTCTATTGGAAGTGCACTAAAATATGCACAAGATAATGGAATGCAAACTGAATCAAGTTTCCCCTATAAACCATTTGAACAACGTTGTTTACAAGGTGAAAAAGTTATGAAAGTTAAAAAATATACTCATAGTGATACTAAAGGAGATGATGAAAAAGTCCGTTCTGAGATATTGTCATATGGACCTGTTGGATCATCGATGGATGCCTCACGTTCATCATTCCTTTTATATCATGGTGGTATTTATAATGATAAAAAATGTCGTTCTGATAAGCCAACAATTGCTGTAGTTATTATTGGATATGGTATTGATAAGAGTAATAATAAATATTTTATTGTTAGAAATAATTGGGGACAATATTGGGGAGAACAAGGATATTTTAGAATATCATCAGACAACAATTTATGTGGATTATCTAATGATATCTATTATATAGAGTCTATAGAAAGACTTAAATAAACAAGTTAGTTAATAAAAAATGATTTGTTTAAATTTTAATTAATTAAAAACACAAATCTTTTTTTTTTGAAAAGAACAAATCATTTATTCATTAAGTTTTGTTTTTAATTATTTTATTAATTAAAATACTTAATAAAAGTGTAAAATGAATTATTTCCATTCTATAATATGAAGTGATTGAACTGTAAATGTATCTTCTCCAGAACAATTAACAAAGAGTTGAGTAGAACATGATGGCACATTATTATATTCTTGAGAAAAATATTTAGAAATAGAAGATACCCCTTTTTCACTAGCCAATTTAAAACAAGACTCTGCTTCAGCAATCATTGTTTCATTAGATGATGCAAATCGAGCAAGAGTGTATTCGTTGTCTTTTTTAGTAAATTTCATTGGAGGAATTCCACAATGATTACGTAAAGTAAATACATAAAATTGATTATCATCTCTAACATCAAAATCATTATCTCTTAAAGACATTGGAGAACGTAATTTAGAACTATAACACCCAAATATTGAATCATCTTTTGTTCTTATAACAATACTAACATTTCTATGTCCACTAACTATTTCATTAAATGTTTTTGGTGTTGGAATTGGTCCATTAAATAAAATATGCGCTTTTTTACCATTATTCCATTCCATAAGAGTAGTGATAGACGTTGAAGGTAAACCACTTGAATTATCTATTTCTTCTTTTATTTTTTTTGAATTTATTTCTTTTTCTTCTAATTGAATATTTTTTGTTATTTGGTTTTGAAGTAAATTTATTGTATTTTTTAATTCAAAATAACTTTCTTGAAATGTTTCAATAAAATCTTTAAGTAATAATATTATTTTATTTGTCGTACATCCAATAGTTTCATTGTCTCTTCTATTTTCTAATCTGTTTATAAATTCGTTTAAATTTTGAATTTGTTGCTGCATTTTAAATGTTTTTTTTAGTTTTAGTTTTACCGTTTTTTTTAATATTTTATCTTTTTCTTTTTTGATTATGAAATTAATAAAATTTCAATTAAAAAAGTTATTTTGTATAAAATTAAAAATCATTAAGTATTTGTTTTATTCATATAAACATGATGATTACAAAGAGTCAAAAAACAAATATAATTCTATTAAGAAATTAAATTCAAATTTATTAACAAATTTAAAACATGTGAAGTTTAATCACTCTTTTTCAAAAAAATATCAAATTGTTTAATAATAAAAAGAGTATTGTTAGTGTGAATTAATAATAATCAATAATAATCATAGAAATAACCAAAAAAAAATGATATATATTCATTTATTGTAAAAACAATAAAAAAGAAACAAAAAATAATTATACAATTTTAATGAAATGAATTAAAACGAAATAACTCAGAACAAATTATGAGAACTTAAAAGGTCTCAATTGTATTTAGTTTTTTAATTTTAATTTTAAATTATTAAAAAATTATAATAAAAAAGAGATTCTTTACAACTAACTAATAGAAACAAACTTAGAAATATTTCATTTATCATTTGAAAGAGTCATGTACGGTTATCCTGTAGGTGGTATGGATTTAGGTGGATATCCTATGGGTGGAATGGGTTCAATTCAACCAATGAATTCTGTACAAGTAGGAGTTCCTGTAATTACTAATACTCCAGGAATGGTTACATCAGTACCTGTATCAGCACTTTGTCTTTGGAATTTAGTCCCATCATCTAATTCATGGATGAATAGTCGTGTTCAATGTCAAATTATGTTAGATCCAATGCTAAGAAATAACTGGTGGTGGAATTTAGTTCAATCTATCAGTGTTACACAATTTAATTCTGTTTATATGTGGTTTTTAAGTATTGACACTGACAGATCTGGGACAATTGAAATAAATGAATTGATGATGGCTCAATTCCCTGGTGGAATTACTTTAACTCCACAAACTGCATTAAGATTAATGAGAATATTTGACGTTGATTTTAATGGTAGAATTTCATTCTATGAATATATGGGAATGTATAAATTCTTAGAAATATGTTATAATGTTTTTATTCAATGTGACACAAATAGGTCTGGAACTATGGAGCCTCACGAAATTATTTCAGCACTAAGAATCCTTGGTTTCTTTGTTAGTCAAAGAACTGCTGTTTTATTACATCGTCTTTTTGCTCATGGTAGTACTATTTGTGATCTAAATTGTTGGATTGCTTTATGTGCTTTTGCTGCTCAAACAAGAACAGCATATCAATTGATTACAATGAATCCATATTATGGAATTATTCAACCATTTAATCCAGTAGAATTTGGTAAATTTTTAGACGTTATAACATCATTATTAGAATAATTTAATTGGTTTTTTGTTATCTATTTTTTTATTTCTTTTAATTTTTAATAAAATTTGATATTTAGTTTTCAGTGAATTAATGACTTATTTTGAATTTGATATTGTTACTTTTTGATAGATCTAGTTTCTATTTCGTTTATTCACTCTTTTTTTTAAATACAGAAATATTTAGTTTTTATTTTAAAAAGATAAATAGAAAGAAAACGGTTAAAACAAATTAAAAACCAGAGCCATAACTTGGCATTCCTCCCATTTGATTATAACCTGGATATGGTTGTGTTCCATAACTTGGCATTCCTCCCATTTGACTATATCCAGGCATTTGATCGAACCTTGGTACTCCATTCATTTGTCCATATTGTTGCATTCCCTGTGGAACATTGTATCCTGGATATTGTTGAGAGTCAAAACTATTTATTTGGTTATATTGTTGTATCTCTGGATTTATTCCGTATCCTGGGTATTGCTGTTGAGCGTTATATCCTCCCATTTGACCATATGGTTGTTGGGAATTACTTCCTGGATATTGTTGTGGAGTATTTTGTTTTCCATCTGCTTGTTGAACATTATATCCTGGGTATTGTGGTCCACTTGGTTGTGTTTTTGGTTGTTGTGGAGTGATTTGTTGTGGAACAGTATTACTCATTTGTTGTTGAGTGTTAGGCATATTTGGATAAGTATTATATCCCTCAGCCTGTCCATTCTGTTGTTGGATTTCATAGTTTGGTTGTTGTCCAGTTGTTCCAGCAGGAGGTAATGGACATACACCAGAGTTTGAATGTGTATTAGTTTGTTGTTGTGGGACTGTATTAGTTTGTTGTTGTGGGACTGTATTAGTTTGTTGTTGAGTATAAGGATTTGAGGGACTAACAATTGGTTGTGAATTTTGTCCATTGGTTTGTTTGTGTTGTTGTTCATTAGGTTGTTCAATACTATATCCTGGGTATTGTTGTTGTTGCTGAATTGGTTGTTGTCCGTCTCTTTCTTGAACATTATACTGTGGGTATTGTTGTTGTTGGATTGGTTGTTGTGGAATAGGTTGTTGAGTGTTGTACTCTGGTTGTTGACATCCTTTTTGTTGTGGTGCAGCGGTGGTAGTTTGTTGTGAAACACTAGAATTTGGTGAAACATTGGTTCCTTGTTGGTTAGTTGTAGTATTAGATGGCTGTTGCATAGTATTAGATGGCTGTTGCATAGTATTAGATGGCTGTTGCATAGTATTAGATGGCTGTTGTGTTCCATATACTACATTTTGTTGAGTGTTGAAAGTATCAACCTGTCCATAGTATTGACCATTATTTGGGAATTGTGGAATTGGTTGTTGGGTGTTGCATGCTGGATATGATTGAGCTCCTGTAGCTGGAGTGGTTCCAGTACTTACTGGTTGTTGAGAAGTAGGAGATTGCTGGATAGGATAACCAGGGTATTGTTGGTTTGTTGTGTTAACAAGGTATTGTGGTTGATTAGGATTAGTGGTGGTTGGTTGAGTTGAAGACATGAATAAATAAATGAATCTCGAATAAAATAATCACAATTCGGGATCGAGTTATCTTTTTTTCACTTTTCTTGAAGGAACTTAAAAATATTCACTATCAAACTGGAAAAGGTTCTTTATAATTAGTGATTATATTTTTAGGATAAGAAAAGTGTTATAAATAACAATCTCATAAATAAAAAAGTGGGATGGACTTAAACAGAAACTTCCAAGGAATTCTGAAAGAAGAAAGGAGAAGAAATAAGGGTTCAATTTTAGTAGAAAAAAGTTTTTTTATATCAAAAAATTATAAAGAAAAAGAAAGATTGAAATCAGGATTGAAATGGTGACAACTTCAAGCGTAAGTGAAGAAGACAATAACCTTTATGAAATAGCTGGATTATTAATAGTCTCAGTCTTTTTGTTTACGTTGTTGTGTCACATTATTGTAAGACTTGTTCCATGGCTTCACATATTTTCTGAATCTATTGTATCATTATTTATTGGTATTGCAATAGGATTAATTTTGTTGGCATTACATTACGTTGGAATTGATTATTTATTGAATGGAAGTGATTTTGCTCGAATCTTTCAAACTATATTTCTTCCGTTGATTATTTTTAATGCTGGTTTTACAATGAAGAAACGTAATTTCTTTAAGAACATTATTCCTATTTTATCATATGCTATAGGAGGATGTGTTTTATCATCATTAATTATAGGATTTGGTATTTATGGGTATACGTTTATTGATACAAAAGTAATTGGTTTAGGTTCACACAATTTAACTATGTCTGAGTCTTTACAATTCGGGACATTACTTGGTGCAACTGATCCAGTTGCAACACTTGCGCTATTTCTTGAATTAAATGTTGATCCTTATTTATATTCATTAGTATTTGGAGAATCTGTTTTGAACGATGCTGTTTCTATTGTATTATTCCATACATTAGATCAATCTTTAGAATCATTTGGGTGGTTAGATTTATTGAAAATTGTAGGTGAATTTCTTTTCATTTCCTTTGGGTCATGTGTGATAGGTCTTTTTGTTTCTTATTTCTCAGCATTTGTAATGAATAAAATGAAAGTAATGCATTTTTCAGGAACGTTCAATTTATTGTTAATTCTATGTGTAGCTTTTCTTGGTTATTTCGTATCAGAATTATTAGAAATGTCAGGTATTTTAACTATTTTTGTAACAGGGGCTGTAATGTCTCATCATCACTGGTATTCAGTTCCAGAGAATCAACGACCAGTGTTGTATGTCTCTGTTGGTACTTTAGCTTTTGTAGGAGAGACATTAACATTTATATCAGTAGGAATTACTATGTTTAATCCATCTAATTTAACAGCTGATTATTGGAATCCATTATTTATTCCATATGTTCTACTTCTTTGCTTTGTTTCACGAGCATTCAATGTATTTCCTATTTCTTTATTAATGAATTTTAGACCAAAAGCCCCAAAAATTACTTGGAGACTTCAAATTATGTTATGGTATGCTGGACTTAGAGGAGCAATTGCTGTTATTTTAGCATTACAAATGAATAATCCTAATGTTATTAACACAACATATTCTATTGTTCTTTTTACTAATATAGTAATTGGAATGACTACTCCAGGTTTATTAAAATTAATGAAAATTGAAATGGGTGGTAGTGAACCATTAAATGTTCGTCAGATAGAATCAAATGAAACAGTTGATATAAATGAAGCTTCAAGTAATAAGAAGAAAGCAATGAGAAAGATGTTCGTAATGTTAGACGAATTGTTTTTGAAGAAGTATTTCGGAGGTCAACCAAGAAAAGAGAAAGATTTGGCACAAATTGATCCATTTCTTGTTAATGAAGAACTTGAAACTGATAGAGAAAAAGTTGATAGGAAATTTAGAGAGCAACATGTTGTTCAAAAAGAACAAGAGAAATTACAAGGAGATGAAGAAAATTATGAACGTGAGACTACACCATTAATTCATGAAGAAATGAAAGACCATAATATAGATGAACATCCTATAGGTACAGTTGATTAATTCATTTTATTTTCATAGTTTAGTTTATGTAAAGATAAATAAAAGGTACAAATATAATATAAATCACGTAAATCATTTAAATTGTTTAATGTTATAGTAATATTGATAAAACACTATTACACTATCTTAAAGGAAAGTAGAAATTAACTAATAAATAAGTTTATTATCATTTTCTAAAGTTTTATTTATTTACTTCTTTTTTTTTTTTGAAAAAAATTGGAGTTTAATTCAAAAAAGGACTAAAAAAACAAAATAGGAAAGAAATAAGAAAAATTCAATGAAAAAGACAAAATATAATGTACAAGCAGATGGATATCATATAGAAATACCCTATACATGTACTGAAGTTAGAAAATTAATTGATGAAGGAAAGCATATTGATAAATTTAAATTAAAAAGAGAGAGGATTGAAGCAAGAAGTGCTTCATTTGGAAAAGGAGGAGAAAGAATAGCATTTGAAGGGATATTTACAAAAAGCGAAAGAGAAATAGTTTTAAAAAGATTTAACAAAGAAAGGAAATTTGATGTTTTTATTGAAACAATAGAAAAACAATGTATTTGTTCAAGTTTAGCTATTGAATTTAATCAACTTCATGTTACAGAAAAACAAATTCAATTTATTCCAACAACATTATTTATTTCGAATTCATTTAAAGGAATATATGATGAAAAAATATTAAATAAAAAAGAATTAGAACCTTTAATTGAAAATGGAGTATTCTTAGTTGAACCTTTACTTCATGGAGAATTTATTAAATTTAATTGTAATAATGGAAATTTATGGTTTGATTCATACCATGCCACTTTACATGCATTTAGTCATTGGAGTTGGTGCATTAGTAATCATCAATTAGTTATTGTTGATCTTCAAGGAATTCAAATAGGAAATTGTTTTTATTTAACAGATCCAGCTATTCTTTCATTATCAGAAAATAAATTTTCAAATTCATCAACTAATTTAGGTGAAAATGGGATCAGTAGATTCTTTGAAACACATTATTGTAATCAAATATGTGTTGCATTAAATATTAATAATGACCTTTATCCTAAACAAATTCCTGATGAAATTATTTCAACAGAAACACCAGTAAATGAACAAATGTCATGTGTTTCCCAAGAACCATCAAGGTCATTAGGAAAATGTGTTGTACTTCATCCATTTAAAGCTGAAGAAATAAACGATTTAAATTTAGAAAGAGATGATATAATAGAAATAACTGCAAAAGAAGGAGATTGGTGGCAAGGAAGATGTAAAGGAAAAGAAGGGATTTTTCCAAAAAATCATGTTCAAGAATTGTTAAAAGTATTTCAGTTTGTTTGTTGTTCAGATTATCATGCAAAAAATAAAGATGAAATTGACGTTTCAATTGGTGATTTAGTTTATCTTCTTGGAAAAAAAGAAGGGAGTGTTAGAGTAGGATTAATTGGAAATGAATATAAATTTGGGTTTATTCCATTTGATATTGTTCAACCAATAAATTGAAAATACAAATTAAGTGTAATATATTTTAGGTTTAATTAAATGAATATAAAAGAAGTAGTAATATTATTATGATTATTTGTTTGTTTTGTAATACATTTTAATGAAAACAATAAGAAGATTTTAGAATAGAAATAAAATTAAAATAAAATTATTAAAAAAACTATTTAATTTAAATTAAAAAAGAACTTAAAAAAAATAGAAGAATTCAAGAGGATGCAACAAGAAATTAAATACTTTGATATTTTTGGTCAAACAATACAAGGCCAAAAAGTTATTGATAACTTTGGGCAAGGAACATTTAATGAAATTATGAAAAATTTAGGAGAAAGTTTTAAAATTGAAGATATTGAGAAGTATTGTCTTCGTGTGAAAAAAGGACAACCACCATATTGTTGTTTTGAATATATTGATGAAGACTCATATGGAAAAACAAATGTCGGAATAAATGATTTAATTGAAATTGTTTATCATCCTACAATTTGTGCAAAAATTATTAGTGAATTATTAGAACAAAAAACAGGAGAAGAATTAAAACAGATATTATTTAAAATAAAAATGGTATTAGATGATCCATATGTTGCTAGTGAATTTATTGAACAAGATGGAATTGAAAATATACTTAATATTACAATGAATAATCATGGTAATATTCAAAATTATGCAATGCAATTATTAAGAAAATTAATGGGGTATAATAATGGTATGGATAGAATTGTTAAAAATGAAGATTTAGTTGAATTATTATATTCATTAATTGATCCTACTATTCCTACTTCAGTCTCAAAACAAGCAATTGAATTAGTATTTGTATTATGTGCATTTGATGGATTCTTTTCATTTATGTGTGCAGCAAAAAATTATGCAAAAACAAATTCAATGAAAATATTTAGTAATATTATTAAAATGCTTGAAATTGATGAAATTGATGTTCAGTTAAATGCCTTAACATTAATTACAACGATGTTTGAAGCTGCTCCATCAGTTGAAAATAGAAATCAAATAATTCGTGATTTAAAAGAACAAGGAATTGATACCATTATTAAAAGACTGTTAACAAAATGTAAAGTTGATGAATTAAAAAAGAAGTTAAAAGAAGTAAAAGCAATTTTTTCAGTAAAACTTCCTGCAGGTCCTATTGATTATCAAACTTTATATATCGAAGAAAAGAAAAAAACTACTGAAATGGAAGAAAAAATTAATAAAAATGATCAAATTCTTCATGACACTCTACAAGAACTCGGTTTACTTAAAGATGAAAAAAATAAAATGGAAAAAGAATATAAAGAATTAAAAGGAAAATATGATAAAGAAGTTAGTGCTGCTGCAAGTGCCCAAGCTAAACTTGATATTATGGGTTCTAAAGGTTCTCAATTTACTAATAACGTTGATCAATTAAAAATTGAATTAAGAAAATATAAAAGAATGTATGATAGTTTAAAACCAAATGAATTAAAGTTAGAATATGATTGTGTTGATTTAAAAAGTAAAATTAAAGAATTAATGACTGAAATTACTTCTATAAAAAAAGAAAATGATTCTTTAAAAGAAAATTTAAAATTAAAACAATCTTTGCAAACTTCTTCTTCTGATCTTCCTCCTCCTCCTACTTTTGATATGTCAACTTTACAAGTATCTTCTAATGGTCCTGACTCTTCTTCTTTACCACCACCTCCCCCTCCTCCTACTACTACTTCACAACCACTTTCATCCTCTCTACCACCACCACCTCCTCCTCCTGGTATTCCAGGAGTACCACCTCCTCCTCCTACAGTTCCAGGTGCTATAGGAGTACCACCACCTCCCCCTCCTGGAATGCCAGGAGCACCACCACCTCCCCCTCCTGGAATGCCAGGAGCACCACCACCTCCTCCTATGGGTAAAGGTATGCCACCACCACCAGGACTTGCTCCAGCACAAACTAAATTAAATAAGAAAGTTATTAAACCAGCAGAAAAATTACGACCATTATATTGGAATCGTATTGTTATTGATATGAATAATGATAAATCAATATGGAGAGAAATCAAAGAAATAAAAGTAGATGAAAAAGAAATCATTGAAATGTTTAAACAAAAGAAAAACACAACTTCACATATTGGAAATAATGATGAAAATAAAAACATTGGAGGAAATAACAAAAATAAAAAAGAATATACAAGGTTATTAGATGATAAAAGATATAATCAACTTGGTATTATTAAGAGTAGACTACCAAAAGAACCTGTTCTTAATTCAGCAATTAAAGAATTAAATTCTAATATTTTAAATCCAGACTTATTAAAAACAATTAAAGACTCATTATTAACAAGTGAAGAAATAGCATTATTTGCAGATGCAAATAAAAATGATATAGACCCAGTAGAATTATTCTTTTATAATATTTCTAGTATTCATGGAGTTAGAGAACGTTTAACATCATGGGAATTTATTCAAACATTACCAGAAAAAATTCAAGAGTATCCAGAACAACTTAATAAAGTAGAAGCAGGAATTAAAGCATTAAAAGAAAGTTTTGCATATAAAAAATTCCTTGGAATAGTTATTAGTCTTGGAAATTATTTAAATGGAGGAAATCAAACAAGAGGACAAGCTGATGGATTTAACATTGAATTCCTTTTAAAATTAAAAGACGTTAAAGATAATAATGGTACAAGTAATTTATTAGAATATTCATTAAAACAAATGACTAGAATGGAAGATCTTCCTGAACAATTAGCACCAGTTAAAAGTGCAGCAATTGATTTAAAAGGATTATTAGCAGGAATTAGAAGTATTAATAAAGAAATGGAAGGAGTTAAAAATATGATTGCTAAAATAGTTGATGCAAATGATAAAGCAATGAAAAGTCTTGTTTCTCAATTAAAAACACAAGAAATTAAAGTCACTGAATTATTAAATCGAGCAATTACTTTAGAAGAAAAAACAAAAGAAATTATTACTTGGACAACTGGAAATCCATCTGATGCAAATAAAATGACTACAGAAGATTTCTTTGGATTATTTAAACAATTCATTCTAACTGTTGAATCTTCTATCAAAAAAATGAAACAACCAACTGAATCTCCTAAAACGTTGAAAGTAGTTAATAAATCAAATATTGGAACTAAAGTCGCTGATGGAGAAGATCCTATGGCTGTTTTAATTGCTAAAATTAAAGCTGGAGGT